TGTGTGTGTGCGTGTGTGCGTGTGTGCGTGTGTGTGTGTGTGTGTGTGTGTGTGTGTGTGTGTGTGTGTGTGTGGACATATCCCCCCCCACCCCCAAATATTCAGTGTTCAACACAATCATATATTTGACGTTTTGCTTGGATTTTCAATCCCGATTTAACCACAAGGACAAATCAGTTGCAGTATAGCTGTATTTTGAGCCACATCTTGTCATTAAAAACGTGCAGAATTATTGATTTGTCAAATACTGATAGACAGCAATCAAAACGCATACGAATAGTATTAAGGGCAATACTCAGCATTAAAATGAGTGCCAGTTTATTCCCGACCAAGACCCCGTTTTGCCCACTGATCAATTGTATCGAGCACGCACAAGTGGTTGGTGCAGGGGAAGGGTGAAAAACTATAAACAAAGGTGACGTCTACATCAGCCTTGACTATCACTTGTTTTATTTTAGAAAAAATGATGGCGGCTCTCCGTCTAATGTCCCGCGATGCTATTTCTACTCTGGGGCGGATCCAACTACCTTCGTCCCACATTGAAATGTTGAACTGTAAGACTTGAAATATCCCAGTAACATTTTCAGGTCGGAAATGAGCACATTTACACAAATACAACTCAGACGTTTCTTTGAACACTATGACATTTGACCGACAATGCTTAATATGAACAACGAAACTCATATTCAAACATACTGTGACTTGGAAGTTTGAAAGTAAATTACGAAAGGAAAACTTGCTTTTCTCACGGGCGAGTAGCATCCGGTTTCAAGATGTCCTTCTTAACAGGTGACAACGACGTTATTTGAGTACAGTAGACGTACGACAAGCGTGTAAGTCGTGTTACTCGTTTGACCAGTCTTCACGGAGACAAACCTTATGGAGCATTCAGTAAATGTCTTCAAAATCCTTTTTCATTATTATTTGTACAACTACTTCCAGTGGCGTTACTCACTTTATGTTCTTGATCATCATGAAGTTCGGCGCAGTAGTTAGTCAACAGACCCGAAGACATGTTTGTTGCTGATTTAGTCGGTCTTTCTTCGAATGGACAACAGCATATAATAGTTTTTCAATGAATGCATTCAGCTGTTTACACAAACACCACCCAGTTTCTTGTGTTTGCGTTTTACAATCACTCAGTTAAAAAAATTCACAGCTTCCGGGACTGGTTTTTTGGTGATGTCACGGAAATTCACAACTTTGATTGGCTGCGAAGAAGACACAGATAGTCTGAGGACGTGCACACATAGCTGCCATCTGTAACTGGGACTTTCCGGCCATCTCGCTGTCATTTCTCGCTTTCACTCGTAGCAACGGTTGGCTCCAATAAATTAATCATAACTCACTTTGATTTTGACACGGTTTGGTTAGTTATAAACAGCCATGTAGTTCTTTAATGTTTGTAGACATGCACCTCTGAGATATGAAAAAAATCATACTATTGTGTGGCTTTAGTCTCCCATGGACACATTTTTGAGAATACATTTTTAATACATGTATAAAAGTTCCATTATTGTAACCCAGTGCTTCTCAATTATTTTCTGTCCTGCACCCCCCCATGAACTCAACTCAACTGGATTTATAGAGCACTTTCAAACAGCCATCGCTGCACAAAAAGTGCTGTACATGGAGCAACTAACATATACAACAGTAAAGCAACAAATCGGTAACAAAGTGACAAAATGAAGAAGAAGACACCCCCCCCCCCGCCAGCGTGATTATAAATAGTATCATCTGTCCATAAAATTGTTATAAGTACACCTTTGCATAAGCTTGTATGCTTATCAACGTATAAGAGAATAAAAAAGAAAGAAATATGGACCAACTTACAACAAAGAATAGCTTTAAGGTTAACTGTAACAGAAAAGATTTAAAGTGCATCTGAAATTCAACAATAAAATTAAATCCTTAATTAAACTATTAACATTTTTTGCCTGGCCATGTCAATAATTAATGCATTCAAACTGATCACCAACATTAACTCAGAGCACAATATTTAAAAAAAACTTTAACCTGCAAAACAAAAAGATCTAAAATTATTTGTGCTGATTTTTTTTATTATCAAATACGATGGATTAATGGCTACAATACGGAAGAGGATTAGGGCCAATGAAAAAAAAACGTTGCAAGATTCTCACTGTTATCTCAGAAGTCTGTCTTTAAAGTGAGAATTATGAGAATAAAGTCAGAATTCTCACTTTAAAGTCAGACTTCTGACTTTATTCTCAGAATTCTGACTTTAGTCAGAGATTAAAGTGAGACTCTTGTTTTGTTTTTTTTTGCCTTCATTGGCCCTAATCCTCTTCCGTACTACAATGAGCACGTTTTGCAATGCACAGCTTTTCGAAGCGAGGTTTGAAGGACACAGAAACTCTCAGCTCATGCTCAATGTGTAGCCGGGACCTGTATTTTAGTTCACTTAAGTAGCAGTCACAAAGCGGGAAGTTTGTTGGCAATATTCGGCACCTTTTCGCTGAAAAAAACTCAAGCGGCTTATCAGCGTAATTGGGGTGTAATTTTTTTCAAGTGACGCCTTAATTTATTTGGCTTCATGCTGTCCACTACCAACATTTTTAGACACAGTAAGCACAAAAATGCTTCCTTGTCTGCCACCGTAGTCACAGTGAAGCCAAACCCTACGTACTCTTCGTCGTATTTCCTCCCTTTGAATGCTCCCTGCGCAAACTCTGCCAATGAGAGCGCCACTGCCCCCTATTGTAGTGGAGGTGCAAATGTACTTTATTCAAGGAAAAATCAAAATAAACAAAAATAAATAAATTAACTAATAAAAAAAAAATAAAAACGCTTTGGTCAAATGCGCGCCCCTTGACGGAGCCTCGCGCCCCACTATTTGAGAAACACTGCGCTAAGGGAAGAAATGCTCTTGTCAAAATAGCTTCGTCTTCGGATAGTCACGCCTGCCCATGGCTGCGCGTTTAGCTAATAGCTATACGTTTGGTCAATTTGTTTCGATTACTTCGTGTTTACTGCTTCTCCTTTCATTTATTGGCGGATTCTGCTTATTTCAACTTGCAAACTAATTTTAGAAGGGGGAGTCCCGACTGGCTAGGGTCGCGCACATTTCCGCCACGTCTGATGGAGTCAATTTGCCCACAGCTCGCAGGTTTATATTTGTGCAGCCCGGTCTCAAATGGGCCGTGGCCAGTACCTGTGGTCTGCGGACCGTAAGAAAACCAAATGCAGTGCGGAGAAATCCTTTACAAAAAAAGACGACGTACATCTGCGTTTGTTAGTTTGGGCACGCCTATAAATAACGCGTGACGAGTGTTGATAAAAAAAAAAATTTCCAAACCGGAAATTACCGATCAGTACTTTGGCAACGCGGGAGATTTGGTGCCAAGAAAGACCACGTTAAAGTCGGTGCTGCGCAGGTGTGGATAGCTGCCTGATTACTCCTGTCCTGTACTCCTGTTGCTCTCCCTCCTGCCTCGGCCTGAGGCCGTCACAGTCCATTAACGACCACCGGGAATTTCACATGAGAGTAATTAGACCATACTCGATAAAATGAAGGTTCCCGAAGAGGAGTTGATGAGTGACATTTTGAGGCGACTGACAGGCGAATCTGCTCTACCGGTTTACAGCAACATCGAGAAATTCAAACGAGTCAACGAGGACTACTACGTAGTTGCAGAGGACTTCCACGAAAGTGTGAGAAAAAGAGAACAGGTCAATGCTAAGGAGCGGCTTCGGGTGAGTGAGCGAGTGCGTAGAATAACCTCGATTTTGATTGCGAAGAGCGGCTATGCGATATTAATTCACCACTCTACAGGAACGAATTTAAGGGAAAGCACTATCCCCAACATTAGCTGGAACTCTTATCAACTGTTTATCTCTGCATAAAGTCGCTGTTAATTAGGGTCGCTACCTTTCAGATCTGGAAGTAAGGCACACTTATGGCGTAGCGGCAAAACCAATCGGGCGAAACAAATGTGGTTCCCCAAAACCCTGAAATGGAGCGTGGTCGACTGGTTAGCGCGTCGGCTTCACAGTGCAGAGGTGCTGGGTTCGATTCCGGCTCTGGCCTTATGGTGTGGAGTTTGCCTATTCATCCTGTTCCTGCGTGGGTTTTCTCGAGGTACTCCGGATTTCTTCCACATTTCCAAAATATGCGTGGCAGGTTAATGAAACAGTCTATATCACAGGTGTCAACGTCAAGTCCTGGGTGCAAGATCTACCCCGCCACATCATTTTATGTGGCCCGCGAAAGCAACTCAAGCATGTCAACTTCCATGATGATTGCTAAAGTCTGAACCAAAATTTCAAATTGTCATATCTAATCCATAACAACAATACTTGAACAAGCCATTATTCTTGACTTCTCATTTCAAAACAAGTTATCCGCCAATTTGTTGTTCGCTGTGTATGTAATATCTGGAGGTGGTGAAACATTTATGGTTTTACAAAATTCACAGTTATAACGGACCTCCAATGTGGCCCATGACAAAAAAAAAGTTTAACACCCCTGCTCTTAATTGTCCCTTGTTATCCGCCAATTTGTTGTTCGCTGTGTATGTAATATCTGGAGGTGGTGAAACATTTATGGTTTTACAAAATTCACAGTTATAACGAACCTCCAATGTGGCCCATGACAAAAAAAAAAGTTTAACATCCCTGCTCTTAATTGTCCCTTGGTGAGAGTGTGAGCGCAGATGAATGTTCATCTCTGTGTGCCCAGCGATTGGCTGGCAATCAGTTCAGGGTGTGCCCTGCCAGAAGACAGCTGGATTAGGCTCCAGCACGCCCCGTGACCCTTGTGAGGTTAAGTGGATCAGAAAATAGATGGATGGAAAACCCTCAAATGCATAGAATCCATGTATTTTTTTAATATGAAAAAACAAAATGGTTTGATTTAATTGACAATATTTAACATGTCATATCAGCCACTGGGCTACGGGCTCACCTAGTGGTCAGTGAGGAAGGAGAAGTCTAGAAAGCATTTAGACGTACTTAAAGTTTAAAGTGCTTTATTAGCGATTCACATAATTTTTAAATAAATTGAAGTAGCCTGAGCATAACCTATAGGCAATTAGAAAGTGCTGTAAATTAAACAATGATTTGTACTCTCACATTTTTAACAATAATGAAACACTTAATAGCCTGAACTTGAGCATATAGACCTGTATTGTATACATATAAAGTGCTGTAAATTAAACAAAGCCTCTCTGGGGAGACTTTTACTGAGAGAGGACAATACTTAAATTAAATCTCTTTTAAAAATGCTGTAAATGGAACAACTCTGGACACCGTTATTTTAAGACAAAGGAGAAAAATGAAACTTCTGTGCGTGCATACATGTTCAAGGCTGAATATACTGAGCTAGGCTAAACTTGAACATACTGTACATCATGTATATACTGTAGAATGCTGTAACAACCGTACAATCATGACAGGCAGCGTAAAGGCGCCAGGCTGCCTGCATGCATGCAGGCAGACAGAGGATTTGGCACAGACGAGAGGAGAACCCATCAGATATAGGCTACGTTCGCGGAATACCACGTTGCTGTCTTTAATATTTCCTGCCTTTTGTTCATTATTGTTAAATCCATTGTTCACCTGTGTTTGTGTGTGAGACAGATGCATGGGACAATTGGGAAAACATGGAACATACCACGTCCCGCATTGCTTTAATGTAGGACACAAAATTTTATTCCCAATTAAAGGACAATTCTGTATTTTACGGGACGGGCGGCAACCTTATTTCAAATAGATTTAGTGGAGTTAATTTTGGTTCCACTTATATTTGAGTCATCCCATAATTAGAGGGTAGGTATTATTTCTGTTGTTGTTGACACTATTGTTTCTGTACACCGATAATGAGTTGAGATCAAGGCCTTTGAATGATTTCTTGTGGTTGCTCCCGAAAGATGGCCCCTAACATTCAGATCATGTTCATTGTGTTTTTAACTTTGCAGATACGGAACCTTAACACCATGTTCTCACGCTTGAAGCGAATGGTACCTCTGATGCGACCAGACCGCAAGCCCAGCAAAGTAGACACTCTTAAAGCTGCGACAGAGTACATTCGATTACTACTTGCAGTTTTGCAAGACACTGAAACTGTATGGCATCTATCATTTTTCCTGTAACTGAATGCAGTAGTAGTTATTTTTAAGTTTATCCATTATTGTTGCTTTGTGCTCATTAGACCGAGGGCAGTGAGACAGACTTCCTAAAGAATGCAATCGCCTATGGTCAGCCAGAAGGCTTTGACAGTGATCTTTGGAGGGTGGATGATGTAAGTCTCTCTCTTAATGTTCTCTATTGAAGAGTTTTATGAAAGTTCACAATTTAGTAGAAATGAAATTAATAATCAGGTGTGTGTGTGTCACACATTGTCTCATGGTTGTCAGCCTTTCAACTTGATAAAAAAATCACAGATCAATCCAAAATTGTACCAATCTATACAAACAACTTAATTTATTCACTGTACAGTTGACCCTCACCAATTCGCGGAGAATTGGGACTGCCCCAGCCAACGAATGGTCAAAATGTGCTCGTAAGTGACATCCACTGAAATGCATTGGGAAAAAAAAAAACCCAACAAAATAAACCCTAAAAATTCTGCCAAAAATGACAACGTTCAATATATGGAAAATTGTGGGTGAGGGTAATCTGACAACCTTATGTCCCCCACCAAAAATCTCCTTCATCTTTAAAAATTGGGGAAAAACTCTGACTATATGCTGAGAAATCTTGCATTTACCAATAGCAGCACAGAATGTCCATGCAGTGAAGATTGTTTGCTGTAACGTCTTATACAGAGCCGAACAAAATGATGTCATTGTTGATCACCAAATTTTGACATTGATAACCAATTTTTGCATAACATGCAAAATATCTACCAATCAGATCAATGTAAGCTCTCTCAGCATATGTAAGTGGTGCTCTCTTTCAATGTTTCAGTGATAAGCGGGAGGTGGGGGGGGGTGTAAATATTCATGTATCCCTTGAACACTGATGATAGCATTTGAGCTGCTTGCTTGCTATCAACGGATTGAGTGGATTTATAGCTCAAAATGTAGCAACCTGAGCAAGATCTCTTTGCGGTGGGTATTGGACAAAAGAGAAGAAATGTTTACCGGTAGCCACCAAATGTATGAGTCTGCATAAACAAAGAATTAAGGTTTTTTGTACGTGGTTTACATTACAGTTTCTGAATCTATCGGAGGACCACACTGAAGACTGCTTCATCATGCCCGTATGAGTCTGCATAAACAAAGAATTAAGGTTTTTTTTGCACGTGGTTTACATTACAGTTTCTGAATCTATCTGAGGACCACACTGAAGACTGCTTCATCATGCCTTCTGAATCAGGAACAGAAGATGGCGATTTGACCAGACTGGTGTTCCAACATTGTGCGATGCCTGCATACCAGTTCATCATTCAAGGAGCAACCGACCAATCTTCGGTAACACATGTTGTGCATGTTTTGGCGTCTTGACACAGAATAAGTTGTATGGAAAAGTATTGACAGGTATAAATGCTGTCAACAGGGGTTTAAATAGTGTGGCACCATGCAGGTGGGGTGCATGATAGGAACATTTGCAAGAAATTCTGCTTCAGTGGCAATGTACAAACGTGTCGCTAATCGGCACAGCATTGCACTTTGTACTTCTCCTGGCAAAAAATATGCAATCACGATCGAGGGCTGGGCGATCATTCACTGTCTATGTATCTCACGAGACACATTATCAATATAAAATGCCGTAGATACATTTGAAAACTCAGGAAGCAAATCGTGGAATTGTGCATGTTGTAGGCATAGATGATGGTATAGTGTTAGATCTGTGCCCTAATTAAAGCATATAAGAGATTTAAAGCCCAAAAGAGTATACAGTGAGTGCATCAGAGCCGCTCATTTGCAGACACAAAGGAGAAGCTGAACCAACAAAGAAGTGTGTGCAGGTGGCGCTGCGCATGTAGTGTGGCAACATTTTGTTCAAATAAATGAGCAGTTGAATCCGTACAACACTTGTAATAAGATTATATTGTGCATAGCAGCCTAATTTTAACACCTCTAAATGGATATGTAGCATTGCGCTCAAGTAAAAGCATGAATGGACTGGCAATAAAGAGACCGTTCAAGGATAAAGTAGACAGTGGGCCAACTGTGATACATTCAATCCAAGCGAATATGAGTTAGCCACACTTGTGTTGAATCAACCCTGAATAAGAGTTCATGTAACTGTCGACGCTACTGCTTTAGGGTAGCGTCTTCAGCAAATAAGCGTTTAAAGTGCATTGTTGGCGGAGCAACTTTGGACATTACACATGTCAGCATACATAAATTAATTTTCCCACCAGAAATTATAAATTGCATTTTTCCTCTTCATAGTTCTGCTCTATTCAATTTGATATTTAATTACTTGACATATTTTATATTTAATCAAATTTGGTTGTTTTCTTATTGTAAATAGTTTTAAAAAAAGCAATTACTATTGCACTATTGACTGATATGAAATACTTGTGTGAAAAAATTTTCAGCCATATCACCCTTCCCTCTGAAGCACATTGTTTAAAAAAGGTATTTGATTCATCTATTTATTGACCAGTTTGACTTTCGACAGTTGAATTGACATCTGAATTAAAGGTCAAATCCATCCATCCATTGTCTGAGCCGCTAATCCTAATGAGGGTCGCGGGCTAAAAGTTAAAATAAAATTGCTTAAATTTGTCATTTTTCTTGCCCCCCCCACGGCCTCGTTCCTTATTTTGAATTATAAAAAAACAAAACAATTGACATTGATCAATTTGAAATACTTGTATAAACTGGTGAGCTGAATCACCATTCTTGGAGGATGTTCATCCAGTAGTTTGTACTTGTAGAAACAAATTCGATCACAGACATGACACAAAACAAAAGTCTTTTCAAATGGCAACTTCCTGATTTTAAGAAAAATGTGGTAGTTAGTATCAGTTACATTTTTAGACCATGCCCAGGGAAAAATTGTGCAATCACTCAGTTCTGAGGGGAAAAAAAGGGATAGCCCCCTGTAAATTTTCATTCCCAAAACTTAAACTTGCATCCAATTAGATCTGCTCATTAGTCCGGCGTTACATAAACGGGATTGAGCGACTGATTTGAATCATGGCTCCAACATGGGCAGTGTCAACGGAAACAAAGGAGAGCTTATCAAACTTCTTAAAGAATGTAAATCATCGCGCAATGTTGCACAAGATTTTGGTTGTTCAGTCAGGTGTGTATAAAATTTGGAAGAAGTAAAAACAACACTGGAAGGTTGTTAAAGGCAAGCATGCAAGTAGACCAAGGAAAGACAGAAAATGCAGAGCAAAACAAATGGGCAGAAACTGGAGTCAGTCTGTTACTCGGTTATAAGAAACTGCCTAAAGTAAATGGGATTTGTTCACAAAAAAGCAAAACAAAAGCAATCCTTAACACAAATAGAAAAAAAGATGATGTTGCTATGCGCTAAGAAAAGCAATCGTGGAGTATGGATGACTGGATGAAAGTCAAGTTGTTGACATGTTGGACACTTTTGTATCCCGTCAATTGAAAGAATGTTTGGGGATGATGAAATAGTTTTTCATGATGGTTGCACCTGGCCATAGAACAAAAACTGTGAAAGGTTTCCTTGGAGAAAGACAGCAGGTCAATGTCACGGCCTGCAAGTAGTCCAGATCTCAATGCAACAGAAAATCATTGCAAGTTGAAGAAAATGTTCCAAAATGTGGCTCCAACTTGAAAGGCTGATTTGGCAAAAGCAATCGGTGTAAGCTGCATCCAGATTGATGAAGAGTACTGTTTATCACTCATTTAGCCCAGGCCTCCAAGACGGCGGTGTGTTGAAGTGTTTTGGGGTCATGGTTCCATAGTTTTGGGGGGGTTGTTTGCTTGTTTGTTTTCTTTCCTTCAGAAAAATGAATCAATTTTTTTACTCTCCTGCCTGATCCAAATGAGTAACTGCTGATGACTACTACCTTTTTTTCTTCTTCTTGACTCTTTTGGTGTTCAAGCCAGAAAGTTGCCATTTGAAATGCTTTTTTTTTTTTTTTTTTTTTTGGTCATGTCTATCTCCTTTTTTTATTTAATTCCCCACCACCCCCACAAATCTAAACTGAGTGAATGAACGTCCTCGGAGACTCGTGGTTCCATTATGATTATTTTATTTTTTTTGTTTCTAAAAGATGTTCACTTTTCATATGATATCAGACCACTGTGGCTCTTTAGCTTGCGAAAGTTGCTGTAGGACGCAAAAATACAAAGTAACAACTGGTATAGTGACAGTCATGCAGCGTTGCTTACACTTCCAATTCAAAATAAAGGGACACAGCAATTTGTCAGATCCTGGTAACAAGTGTATTGCTACTTCCTTTGTCTCAATGAAACAAGGAATTGTTTGCTGCAATATCAATACAGTATTGTTCTTATCGAGCTCCATGAGTCATGACCATGTCTGGTACTCTGGGTGTTTTTTCTCCACGGTTGCAGGATATTTTAATCACATGAAACTGAGTGACGCGTAAAGGTTTTGCAAGTACATCTTTTGAGCAACCCGGGGAAACAATGCGGTTGATTGTGTGTATACAGTAAACCCCTGACTATTGGTGCTTCGCTATTCACCTATCAGTTATTTGCGAACAAACAAGTCTATTTGCAGGTAGAGGGCCTTTATATAATACTTTAGATGCCACGATATGGTGGTGCCAAATCCCGGTCTTAAATAGGATTTGTTCTTCAGGCGGTATATTGAAGTGGTCCCGACCGAGAGACGGGCTTTGTATGTCAAGGCGATTGGGTTTGTGGAAGTTGAGTCTTTTGCTGCATGAACCCATACACTTCAGTTGCTTCCGCCTCAACCCCTGCCCCAAAATGAAATATGAAAAGCAAATTTATTTTTCAGGGTGATTTGAAGTTTTGAGACTGTTGCCGGAAAGGTTTGTGGTGTATTTACAGTTGAAACTATTAATGTAGAAAAGGAGATTGTAAAGTTTTTTTTTTTTTTGTTTTTTTAATTCATGTGATTTCATCAAGTACTTGGTTGGAGTGTTTGCTCTTCATGGTAGGGCTCCATTCTTATATTCTTCTCCACACACACCCGCAATAGTAGTGATTGTTATTTTCACAAAGTAGTTGGCACCCTCATCCCTCTCAGCCTTGGTGGTGCTGCTTTTAACACGGTTGTGAGATCTGGGCCAAGTATTTTAACTCCCACCTTTTGTACAACTTTAATCGTTGGTAACATTAGCTGTAAGTCGATATCTGTGGAAAGTGGGGGAGAAATGCTCTGACGTGTATTTATTTTTCAATTATTGTCCCTCACACACACACACACGTATACAGTAATCCCTCGTTTATCGTGGTTAATGGGGACCAAAACCACCCGCTATAAACGAAAATCCGCGAAGTAGCGACCAGTAAACATAAAAAAAAAAATTATAAGACCGCAAAAAGTCAGCAAACGGTCCGCGAGAAGCTGCGAAAGTCAGCAAAACAGCGAGTCACACAGAGCAACATATACAGTACTGTACTCCATGTATGTATGTATGTATATATATATATATATATATATATATATATATATTTTGTAAATGAATATGTTTGAAAAAATCCGCGATGCACTGAAGCCGCCATAAATGAACCGCAAAATAGCGAGGGATCACTGTATATAAATATTCACTCTGACATACTGGTGGCAAATGCTAACTATCAATCTGCTTTCAAAGAGGCACCTTTCAGCAATAGTCAAGATGGAACACTCAAACTCTGCAATCAGAAACATTTGAAAGATTTGCCATTCATGAATGGTGGACACAAAGCATTTGATTGTGTTGACTCACATGTGATGCACTATACATTCAAACTATCTACTTCTTTGTCTCGTGTGTTTTGTTGATTTTGAAGGTGAAGAGGTTCTGATTGAGGCGGCTCCCACACAGCAATTTGCCCTACTTCACCGTTTTAATGAGCTACTGCTTTGACAAAAGCTGACCTTGTACATCCTGCTAGATTAGGAACAAATGATTGTAGGGATGTTCCAATCAGGGTTTTAAGATGTATACTGTATTGCCCCGAAAAGTCCTGGTTGAGTCATAGTGGCCTGAACCTTTCAGGTGTGTGTGTGTGTGTGTGTGTGTGTGTGTGTGTGTGTGTGTGTGTGTGTGTGTGTGTGATACCGACAGCAATATTTTAGCTCTGGATGCCAATAGCTATGGTCCCCCTCTGCTGTTTATGCAATAAACACATCACACCAACTAAAGTAGTTGTGCGGGAACTAAAGGCAAGGCAGATTTATTCATATGCATTTCATACATGAGCTAATTCGGTATGCTGCACAACATTTAAAAGCATTCACAAACACAAGAACTAAAGACACACACACACACACGAATCAAAGTATAAAAGGTAGCCTAATAAAATAGCATACAGCACGTCGACCTCGGAATGTAGAGGTCGTGGGTTCGATCCCAGCCTGGCCTCCCCATGTGGAGTTTGCATGTTCTCCCCGGGCCTGCGTGGGTTTTCTCCGGGTACCCCAGTTTCCTCCCACATTCCAAAAACATGCAGGTCAGGCTCATTGAACACTCTAAATCAGTGGTTCTTAACCTTGGTTCGATCGAACCCCAGTGTTTTGGTGAGTCGGTCTCAGGGGTTTGACGGAGCCTCTGCCATGGAGGGTAAGACTCACGTGACTCATCAACTAATCAACATGTTAATTAGTTATGACATGCCCGGTTGGCCATCACTGGCTGCAGATGATCACATGATATTGCTTGTCCAATCAGTGTTGTGGGAAATGTAGTTCGCTTAGTATTCAACGTGTGACTGTCGTGATAGTATGCCGTCCAATTAAAAAAAAAAAAAAAAAAGTACTGTATACTTATCTCTTGAAATTTTATTTACTATTGTCTGTTTTTAATAAATTGCTTTTTTTCTTAATATCTTGAATTTGTAAAAAAAAAAATATATATATTTATTTTTCACTCATGAAGGGTTCGGTGAATGTGCATATTAACTAGATGGGTTCGGTACCTCTAAAAAGGTGAAGAACCACTGCTCTAAATTGTCCCTAGGTTTGAGTGTGAGTGCAAGTGGTTGTTCGTCTCTGTGTGATTGGTTGGCAACCGGTTCAGGGTGTCCCCTGCCTACTCCCCGATGACGGCTGGGATATGCTCCAGCACCCCTCGCGACCCTTGTGAGGATAAAGCGGATCGGAAAATGAATGAATAATTCTGTTGTCAGCTTATTCCATTTGCCAAAGCACAAAATCTTCAACGTTGATGTTGGGTGTCATACATTCCACAAATGATTATTGAGATTTATGCTGCCATAATGCAGTAAGAAACATAAGATTATTGTACAGTTTATTACCATTATCCATCCATTATGATCATGATTGTTAGTGTCGTGTTTTAAGCAGTGGTGTAGTGGGGATTTTTTAAGTGGGTGTACGCGATTCTGGGATGTTCTGTATATACATACAGAACATCAATCATAGGCTACAACACCAGTTGAACTAACGTTACATTTAATGTTTTACTACTCCAAAATAATCACAGGCCGACGTTATTAAGCATAACTCGCATTAGAACAATAATCGACAAACATTTCAATAAAAATTGAATGTGGCGTCGGGAGAAGTGGGTGGACGGCGTACCCCCGAGTACCACGCCCACTACATCCCTGGTTTTAAGTTTTTCAGCCCAAAAAGAGCGGAAAGACAAAAGATTCTTGCGGTATTGCAGTGCCCTCTCGTGGTGAAGTGTTGAACTACAATTTAATTCAAAAATTATTGATTGGGCATCACTCTGATCAATATACAGTTGCACTCGATGATTCAAACCACATTTCGAATTATATTTGCAAAGACTTCAAACCTGTACAACACTACCAACCAACAAAACAAGAGGAACTGAAATATCTCAGTACAATGTGTTCGTCAGTCAGACTTTCTAAAATGTCATTTACAATGTGGATTACACCATTGTCAATGCAATTGTACATGGATAATGTGTTCAATCAGAAGTACATTGAATGTAATTGTTAGAAACATTGGCAAATTAATTCTCCTCCCCCAGGGATCTTTACTATGAAGAACAACCTTCAGCAGCTTCAACAACCTTCAGCAAGATGCTAGAAGGTGCCCTTTATTTTTTTATTTCTTTTGCAAGTTGTATTAGTTTGTGATTGGAAAATTTATTTCACTATATGTGGTCTTGTTAACATTTACAATGGACAACATATTTTGATTTGACATGATTGTAAGTCTTAGTTTTGTACTTGCTGTACCATGTGCAAGATAATTGTGGGAAAAAATGTTTGTTTTATTTACTGTAATGGGAAATTAGTTTATTTAAAATAAATTAAAATGACAGCATTTTTTTTCCCAACTGTTGTCAAGTCTTCTGAATGTACAATTTTTTTCCCCATTCCAAATCATACAGGACATAAACGTTAGGAATCAAAGTTACATTTAAAATTTGCAGGTTAATCTCTTTTTCTTGTATGAATGGAGACTAAGGCGGCCAGGTGGTCAAGTGGTTAGCGCGTTGACCTCACAGTGCAGAAATGCAGGGTTCCATTCTGGCTCCAGCGTCCCTGTGTGGAGTTTGCATGTTCTTCCCGTGCCTGCGTGGGTTTACTCCGGGCACTCCGATTTTCTCCTACATTCCAAAAACATGTTTAGCAGGTTAATGGAACACTATACATTGTCCCTAAGTGTGAGTGTGAGCGCGGATGGTTGTTAGTCTCAGTGTACCCTGTGATTGGCTGGCAACCGGTTCGGGGTGTCCCCCACCTACGGCCCGAAGACAGCCGGGATAGGCACCCCCGCGACCCTTGTGAGGAAAATGGATGGGTGGAGTGGAGACTAAAAAAAAATCCACCCAAACCATGGTGTATCCAAAAATACTTGGCACACTGTGTTTGTCAAATTTCTTTCATCTGTGTAATTTTGCCTCAACACAGTGAGGAGTGTCTTTGATTTCCAGATCTGAAAGGAGGCAACCCAATTCACGTCACAGTCCACAGAGTCAAGTAGCTCGAGAGTACTCAGCTTTCCCCGCACCATGGATGACCCCAGGATTTTTTTCTCTCCTGGTGTGAAAGAGGGGCTTGACCTATACATAGGGGCGCAGAAAAAAATAATGTATGAATATATTTTGCGATGTCAACTAAAATGCTAGAGGGGCTTAACTGGGGTTTTACACATTTGTGACGGTACGATTTGGACTCAAATTTACACTGAAGTGCATTTCTCGAGGCGGATGGTACAAAATCTTCTGAATATGAGCAGCCCAATAACACAATTGGAAATTTGTCAACGACAACCCTTCATTGACCTTACACCTTTGAAGCAGAGCTTTAAGAATCCCAGGTACTTTATCCTTGCATAAACATTACATTGTTTTGGTCTATCATTTTAAAGATTCTTTTGTCAAAAACGCAAGACAGCAAAGAAAGAGCAACAAAAATTTCGGCAAGCTGTTCATCTTCTAATCAGCGACAAGGCCAGATTTTTCCATTTCTGAAGGTCACGTCTACGGTGAGTCATTACCGCCCTCCACCGTCTGGCTCCGGACCAGGGCCTGACCTACTAAGTGCGGCTGTGGTGGATTCTTATGCCATCCGCCACTGCATTGACTGTCTTTAGTTATTAACTGTTGGACACTTGCTATGCTCAATAAGCACATTCACCAGCAACCTGTAGCATTTGAGGGAAAGGGGGAGTTGTTTTTTTTTCTGGGTCCAAAGGTATGAAAGACTTGAAAGTGTTGAAGGAGAGAGTAGGTTGCTGCTTGTTCTGAAAACAGTAAAGACATATGACTTGCCTTCTTCACCTCTGCTTATCATTTACTGCATCTCCACAAGGTGATGTTTCTGGTCACATTCACCTTCAAATATTTGAAGCCAGACGGAGACAATTTCAAAGGGATATCCACTTGATCTAATTGAAGTCCCCATTGATTACAGATAGATAAGATAATGACCAGATTTGGTCTCCCGCAGGAGAAATGCTGCTACATACAGTGGACAATGCAGTGTAGACAAAATACAGTGCAGTCTAACACAACACTCATCCAAAATCCATAACACCTTACAGGCATATGCACACACCACACTGCCCTCATGTCCTTCAGCTTGTCTGTCTGCATCCCTCTAATTGTTTGTGAATTCGGCTGATAGCATGTGGGATAAATTAGTTTTTATCGTGCTTTAGTTGTGCACAGAAAGGGCTCCATACCGCCTTCCTGAGTTGAGGAGCTTACTACGGTAACTGGGCGGCCCGGTGATTCAGTGGTTAGCGTGTCAACTTCACAGTGCAGAGGTACCGGGTTTGATTCCAGCTCCGGCCTTCCTGTGTGGAGTTTGCATGTTCTCCCCGTGCCTGCGTGGGTTTTCGCCGGGTACTCCAGTTTTCTCCCACATTCAAAAAACATGCATGGCAGGTTGATTGAACACTCTAAATTGTCCCTAGGTGTGAGTGTGAGCGCAGATGGTTGTTCGTCTCTGTGTGCCCTGTGATTGGCTGGCAACCGGTTCAGAGTGTCCCCTGCCTCCTGCCCGAAGACAGCTGGGATAGGCTCCAGCACGCCCCGCAACCCCTGTTGCGAATCAGAAAATGGATGGATGGATGGATTACGGTAACTGATATACTTTGTAGTAGGCTTACAAACATAACAGTCGTCAGCATTAAGCTAATTTAATTTCTATTCCCAATACAGTGAAACTCCTCTACAACGAAATCATGTTTGCAGCAAGAAATTTTTCACAACAGGGGGTTTTTCACTGTAGCAAATTTGATCTCAGATGTAAGCACACACACACCCACACACACAAACGTATGTGTACACGCACACACAAACGTTTGTGTACTCTATTTTTATTCCAATAGTACATAAGTATGAGCACACACTTATTTGACACTTCATATTGTCAGTGTAGAAAGAAAAAAAGGGAAAGAAATTGCGAAATTTACGATCAGCATTCACTTTCACTTACATCAATTTCTTGGAAAATGTATTTTATTTTGCTTGCTCCGTCTTTCATTTTGATCACTTTTACCCTCTCTTCCAGCATCAGAGCTCTTCTTGTCTTAGCTGCTTGACATCAAAAGGTCCGTTTTGTAGCCATTTTAGCAATGCAACGTCCATCCTCGTCTGAATCTAACAATAACAAATACTTCCTGGCATGCAATGAACTTTTAAGCCAGCCACGGGGCGCTTCGTAGTCCTCGATGGCCATAGTTAGCTCTCGAAGGCTAAAAACCTTACGCTAACTGGAGCGCTTCTCTCTCATTAGCGCTCCAGTGGCTCGACGGACATTCAAATAAACGAACGTTTCCTCGAATGCTTTACTTGTTATCATGCTAAAAACAGCCACGGGACGTTTCGTAGTCCTCGATGGCCATAGTTAGCTCTCGAAGGCTAAAAACCTTACGCTAACTGGAGCGCTAATGAGAGAGAAGCGCTCCAGTTAGCGTAAGGTTTTTCGCCTTCGAGAGCTAACTATGGCCATCGAGGACTACGAAGCGTCCCGTGGGTGTTTTTAGCATGATAAAAAGTAAAGTAAATGTCCGTCGAGCCATAAGCAATTTACTCTGAGCAGCTAATCGGATGCTACGGATCTAGCTTCAGTATCTACACACATAGACAGTGAGGTCTATGTGGCCTCTTGGCCAATCGGAGGCCAGGATGATGCTCGGTAAGCCAATAGCAGAGCAGCTATGAGTATGTTGAGCCCAGGAAACTCGCAGCTGTGACCGAAATAAACATCGTTCACTATGTAAACCAATGTGGTGGTTGCTGTTGCCTTTTTTCGAACGAAGCAGTAGAGGTCGCTGTTGGATAAGACTTCGTTGTAGTGAATGTCTTCGCGAGGCTGGAGCAGACAAAATGATTTCGTATAACGCAACAGGGGGTTTTTCGTCGTATGGGGGGCAGGAGAATGGGAATTGTGTTAATGCATGAAGATTTTTTCACATAAGGGGGTATTTTCGCCCATGCAGGTTTCGTTCTAGAGGAGTTTCACTGTATTATCACAATACATGTCGGGCTTAAAATAAATCGACAACGGTTCCATCATTCTTGCAAATAGAGCAGAGAAACGACACCCCTTTTGATCACCCCATTCTTTCGGAAAGAAATGTGACTGAATAGCATTACTAGACTGATATGCAGTAAACTAGTACAGGAAGCCTATCCAGGAAATAAATTATTCACCTAAACCAAATATCCACAACACCTCAAATAAATAGCTTAACTCCACTCTGTCAAAACCCTTTTCAGTGTCAAACTAAATCATTTATTAGTTTAGAACAATTGACGCTCTTGTGAATCCAATTTGGTCAACGGTGATAATTATGAGACTTATCTGAAGACAGAGTGAAAGCTTTTTCTAAAATTTCTCCATCCACATTTATCAGTGATATAGGTCCATAAGAAGTGCATAAATCTGGATTCTTCTCCTTTTTAAATCAGACATTAAGATCCAGAATGCAGTGACTCAAAATGAAGAGACTGCAGCCAGAAGCAGGATAAATTGTTTTTCTGTACCGTTCCCTCTTTCTCCTCACAAAACGTATTCCGTAAGGCGTTTTCAATAAATATCACAATACAACCCCCCCCCCCAAACAACTGAACAATAACAACAGGAACAAAATAAATCTTTTTAGCGCGTTTGTGAAACATCCTGAGGTCCGTCAGACTTTCACTAACAAAAATTAAATGTATTCGGCTCACATTCAAAATGTATTCATATCCATTACTGTACAAAGACTGCAAATCAGCATTACTGTTGAGGTAAGACTATAAAACGCAGGACTATACTAATTGGCTTTTTATATAGAGTTGCGCTTATTGTAAAATATTCACATTTTTGATCAATGATACTTTGCAATACACTGCACCCACTTCGATAATGTAACCTCTTCTTCATTCTGATTCCAAACAGAAGGTGGCGTCTGACCGTTTCGACTTAATCGGGCCTTAATATGTTATCCGGCAACCTTTTTATACACGGCGCTGGAAATCCAAATGGGCGTCACGGGAGTAATCCTTGCATGTATTCCTGAAACTGGGTGTTGCTGTGTAACCGTGTGAGACAGAACAGGCGTGGCAGTGGGCTGGTCCACGGCGCAGACGGCGATGAAAAGCATCATGGTCCACTGACTTGCCATCGTATGCTCTGACAAAGAAACGGAGCTGTCGCAAACACATTTGCAGCTGACCACATCTGCCTGCTTTGACGTCGTCATTTGGTGTTCTGCAGCCACACAGTGGAGGCGTCGTGGGAAAGCACTGAGGTCAGTCAGTCCACTATCTCCGAATCGTTATATTGCATTCGACATCTCAGTGATGTGTGGATTTGGGCGTTGCACTGCATGCACCCTTATCCGTGCACGAGATAGCGTGTGTGCGTTTCGCTGCTGATTAGAAGCTCCAACAAAAATGACAATCACACTCTCGAAAAGCATCGACCCCCCTCCTCTGTGCGTTTTATGCACTTTTGTTTTTTCACATCAAATATTCTATTTGTGTCAGGCGCAAAATCGTTTAGTTGTATGCTAGCAATCGCATTTGGACACCTCGCACGCCCGTGCATGCCTTGTATTTGTCACGCATTTGATTTTCCTGACGACACAACGCGAACAGCGCACACCAGCAGTCGCCGTGTCGTGGCTGTCGGCCTTCACATCCAGACATTGCAAGAGTCCATTAGCCTCATCATTGGCTCGGCTGGTGCTGATGCTGCGTTGCGTGTGAGTGTTGCTAGGCAGCCAGGCAACGTGCAGCCCACAAGGGAATGTTTGACGATGAGGGTGTTTTATAGATATTGTTTACTCTCTGACCGGTGAAATGTTGTTGATACATAGAGCTGTGTTGACGTGACTATAGAACCAGTGCCTGTCGGATTGCATGTGTAGTACAGGTCTATATACAGTACAACTGGAGCAGTTCATCAAACATCGATTCTACAATATATAGCATGTTTCAACAATTTTAAAAATGTCTGTCTGATAGACAACGAAATCGAAAGGTTTGCACATCCTCCTCACAGTTCTGAGGATGGAGGTTCAAATTTGGACTCCAGTCTTTCTGCGTGGAGTTTGCATGTTCTCCTCGTGCTTGTGTGGGTTTTCTTCAGGTACTATGGTTTCCTCCCACATTCCAAAAGTATACATGTTAGGTTCAACAAAGATGTTTAACTGTTCTTAGGTGTGAATGTGAGTGTAAATGGTTTGCGTGCCCTGCAATTGGCACAAAACCACTCCAATGTGTTTTCTTGTTTGTTTGTTTATTTGTCATTTACAAACAGTGCAAGGAATGAATGAAGCCTGTAGGGCTTGTTCAAGGTTCCACCCCCATTCAAAAATTATATCAAACATTTCTGGATGAAGAGTAAAAGTGAAGAGACACAGTATAATAAGATGTAAATAAAACAGACATTATAACAAGGATATAACTGCAGAATTGAGGTTTCATTGCAATGTCAGTGAATTGGAATATACAATATTCCAATACACTATACTATATATATATATATATATATATATATATATATATACAATGTAAGTGAGAACAGGATAAGATCAGCTGTAGTTTCTGCGATCATCCACCCATGGAAGTCTGCTTGCAGTTCCTTATAAAAATAATTTGCCCGCTTGGATTTTCTGCACACTCCAGTGAATCTACTTTTGCTTCCGCAATGTCAAAGACTGTGCGCCTCGATTGCGCTGAATTTAAAAAGAATGAGGGGAACCATTTCCATTGGATGGAAAACAAATCGGCTGTGTTCACTCCCACAATGCTGCAAATGCCCCTGTGCCCATCTACGAAAATACCAAAAGAAAGAAAACTCCACCCATGCGCACAGTTAGATTGCACTTTGCGCTTCAGCTGGACCTACTGCTGCTGAGTGGGGTTTACCCTAGACAAGTCAACAGCCAGTTGTATTATTATTACTATATATATATATATTTTTTTTTTTTAATTGCAGACTGATTAGGTGGTCTTTTTGACTTTCTACCCAATGATCAATCCAGATGTAAATATGTTTTTTTTTTCCAGACAATGCATAATATAATGTTAAGAAATGCTTTGTTTCCTTGCTTTGAGGATTATTGAGTTATTATATGAAGTACATTGTGAGAATCACAATACAATATTCACGTCTATTCTGGTTCGACCATAATGAAAGTGGAGCCAAAGAAAATCAATGTAGAAGTACTTTAGGTAATTATTCCAATGGATGTCGGTGCTCCCAAAACCACTCTGGGTAGACCCATTTACAGTCCAGTCGCAACATGCATGTGCATGTCAAGCAAAGCATCATTATACATTCCTGCCAAATGTGATGGTCCCATTGTCCCACAAGTGCAGTGTTATTACTAGAGCCATGGCAGGCTCTCCTCACCCAATAATGTGTAAGCTTTGGTTTTAAAATACAATTTTCTATGGATACACAGTATACTCTTATTGTATGTACTGATATGCTGCGAGTACTGTTATTAAGTCAACGTGGGTGTGGGGTGTTTTGGGACCTTATCTGCTCCCTGCAGCAATGCGTGTAAAAATGTGAGTGTGTGTGTGAATACACAATTGAGAAGAGGCCCCAGTTTTCAAAAGATCGTTAAGGTAATTCTTTTCTCTTTTTACCATTACCAAGCTGAGCTGCAGTTTTACTTCGAGTTAATAGTGCTGATGGCGCTGCCTGCATATGAAGTCATACCACTTGTGCTCAATGCTTCCTTCTGCCAGTGATATACGGTCTCATTTTGGTTTGGTAACATAAATCAGCTCGCAATGTCCGAAGTGGGGAACAGTGTAAATTCAAATGTAAACACTTTGTTTTTGTGTCAAATGGGTTAGTGCTTATCTGTGTGGAGATTTCATGACTTTCAGGGGGTACTCTGGCTTCCTGCCACAATTCAAAACCATGTATAGTATGTTAGATCAGCTGAACACTCTAAATTGCCTGTGGGTGTGAGTATGAGTGTCAACAGTTGTCTCGGTTTTAGCCCTGTGATTGACAGATGATCATTAACCCTTGTCAGTTGAGACACACTGCAACTTGGGAAATGGACGGATGTATTGAACTCCCTGCACTCTCGCGTGTAATGTATGAATGTCGTTACGTTTCCGATGATATGCTTGTCAGTTGTCCTCGACCAAGCCGGGGTTGTGACACAGCAAGTGGGGAAGATGAGCAAGTCTCCGACCCCAGTTGAAACCCCAGTGCAGCGGAGCCCCAGCAATGGGGTCCCCGAAGGCCTCCAGTCACCTCAGCATTCAACTCCTGGCTCTGGATCGCATCTTAAGAAACACATCTCCAGCCTTCTTCAGAGTCCGGTGAGTTCGGTCTGCTCGACAGAACTCCAGTAAAATAAAAAATGTCAAGAGTGGGATAAAATGATGAGGTTGTAACTCTGTCCGAAAATCAATTTGATCTCAAGTATCACTTTTGTGCTGATGCGGCACGAATGCTACACTATTACATTCTCACTAAGCTGCCTATTATGGTGCTTCTGCATGTAGAATATCAACTACATACGATTCTGAAAATTTTCAAAGTAAAAGAACTGATGCTCCATCATTTGTAATACTCAGACATTTTGAAATTCGATCGTAAAACTGCAGAGCATTGTATTGACAGTATTTCCCATGAACATGTTCTTGCATGTGCGCAGTCATTCAAGGAGGAGCTGGATGCGCTTATCCAGGAGCAGATGAAGAAGGGTGGCAGCTCATCAAACCTTTGGGCACTCAGGCAATTGGCTGACTATATGGCCTTGCATGGCTCCCCTGCAACCCTACCAGTCTCCCCATCTAGTATGTATAAATTATGATGGAGTGCATAGTGTAAATTCCAGAATTTTCCGAACTGTTGTTGTCCTGGATCGATTGTTTTGTGTCCTCTTACCTTTAATATGGCTGAATTGATTTCAAAATAGTTAACGGCAGGCACTCAATACGCAAAATGATCGCTTTTTATTCAAGGAAGTATATAAGTAAAATATAGTTTTTACAATGTTAAAGATCATTTTACCAGATTCACTGCATTGCAGGAATTGTACTCTTTGTCTGGCTCTGTCCCATTGCTATCGCAGCCTATCTGAATTAAACATGTACTGTACTTCTGTGATTGTTTGAGGATAGCTTGCTTTGTATGACATACAGGAACATACAGAAAAGAATGAAAAAGTGGAAACCCTTCGAACAAGAAAACAAATTATGATAAAAACAGTATGATGTGTGTGGCACTTGTGTTGTATTGAGCCATCATTACATCTCGGATAAAAGAGAGATGTCAGCAGCTTTCCAATCGATGTAACGGAAGATTATTGGAAAATAGCTGTGTCATGAGGAAAAGCATCTCCAAAATTCTGGAAGAAGCTCAGATAAAAATGTAAAGCTGGGTAATTATTTTCGTTTTCAACCAGTTATGTCACAATGTAGTCATTCTTTTGTCTGGTCCATCTGCTCCTAATGTCATTCTTCATGAATCAGATAAGTAGCTAGCTACATGGCATACCGACAGAAAAACAAGCAAAAAAATACCGTGCTTTTTAATTTTTGGTTTAAAGATTTTTAATTCTTTAGTCACAATGGCCTCAATCCTCAGAGGGCCTGAATCAAATATGGTATGGCCCCGTTATTTCATACGATCTCAGCACAAGACCTACAGTCACAATATTTCCTCGTGTGGCTTTGTGTTTGACAGCATCTCCTTGTCTGAATGTGTGTGTTTTTGTCCACCTTCCAGACATGATGATGGTCACCCCCATTAATGACCTCCAAGGCTGGGATTCTGGCAGCATGGTGAAAGGGGAACGACTGATGCGCTGCAAGCTTGCCAGTGTCCATCGTCTTTTTGATCTCTATGGCTGGGCCCAGATCAGTCACACCTGTCTCACTGTTTGTTTGATTTTTGTTGTGTTGAAACACTTCTAATCGCAGTGGTTTGTTATGACTCCGTTTTCAGTGATATTGTCATTCATGATGTGTCTTGTCTTTTTTGACAGCTGCGGGTTAGCAAAGAACAGGAACACTTCTTGGTGCTACAAGATGGTCTGGCCTACAGTGAGGTTACTGGAGCAAGCCTGGTTAGTAGTAGGCTATTCCAAGAACCATGCATACTTCCCATAATGTAGTCCAGATACGATCCTTTTAGTTGCCCTTACAGGACCGTCATTGAAATATTCTAAAATTCAAAACTTATGCTGCAGAATTTCATTTCTTTTCAATTACTTTTAAATGCTAATATTTATTGCAATTAATTTATAAATGATCGATGACAACTGTTTACTGTCCTTAGATTTTTTTTTTTTAATTTCAACTCCTACCTTTTTATTATTATTAATCTTTCTTTGCCGATTAGCCAGGAAATAACACATGATACAAGTTTAACCCGTGTGCACCAAAACATGCCGTAACAGGACTGTTGACGTACAAACTAAAATTATGTCATGATCTATTAACATGTTGAAGGCGCTAACTTGTCCATATTGAATAGTCCGAATTCAATGTTTTTGTTTTTTACTTATATGCAGATGATAGTTACTTATACCCATAGCACAATACTGCTTTTTATTGCTTTGATGTCCATAGAGGGCACCAACCTCAATAAGTAAATAGAAACTAGATATGTATGGATAGGTCTGACGCCACTGAACATTTTGAGTGGTCGCAAGAAAAAAAAGGATTTAGAAATGACTTTGATATTACACTTTAAAGCCACCGTTCCATTATGGTGCCTTCGTCCGATGTGTCGTTAAAAAAAATCAACGCACATGGGTTAAAAGAGATGCACAAAGTTTTTCACAAATTAAAGTAGCTTGCTGAAATTAGCGTGTTTTGGGGGATGGCCAGAGGTCCTACCTCATGCAAATAAGCCATTGCTCACTCCACCCTTTTCTACAGCGGGGTCAGTACAGAATACAAGTTTTATTTCCAGGACAACGGGGTGAAGGCTGAGAGTGTTGCGATAAGGTGAGCGGCTTCTTATTCTCAAGCAGCACGATGTCGGAGGAGAAAAGTTGGCTCCCATATCGACAATGTAAAAGCTTAATTTGCATTTTCACTTGTAGAAGCAAAACTTCATTACCAAGACAGCAAATCAAGTGTGCGGATGCCTGTGGCAAATGCAGCAGACACATTGGCAAACCGAAATATTCTCCACTGCCACGTCAGCAACTTTGCCGAACGTTCGAATGTGGCAGTGATCTTAAGATAATGCTGATAACATGATTTGCCAATGCTAATCTGAGCCAACACCCCAGTTCTGCTTGCCTTTTGGGTTTGACATGATTGCGCTTCTGTGTAAACTCCAGAAGTTGTTCAGAAATGCTGGATCGTCACTCAGCCTTGCGGATAAGTCTTGGGACTGAAACACTTTGTGTGGGTGATACAGCGTAAATTACTTGAGCTTGGCAAAATTCAGAATGGCTCACTTTCATTTTCAGGCATAGGCAGTTAATAAAAGATTGATTTTGTTCAGTTAAACACTTGATAGATGGGCAGGCATTCCAGCGACTCGGCTAAGTGTACAAAAGAAATGAAAAAGTAATATTTCCTCTTTAAGACTGAAAGGGCACATATTTTAGAAATTAAGTTACCGTAACTTAAAGTTCCCAAAAATGGTTCTTTGCTTTATAAAGGGACAATATATTGGTTGCAAACATAAAATACTACACCTTCTATCCAAACAACCAAGTGTTGTGTGGTAAGCTAAAATGTTGTGTTCAAATTTTAATAATGTCTGAATAGTACACTAAAACTATGGTGAATGTATTTTAAAGATTAAGAGGGTGTCTTACTTGTTGTTGTGTCATAGTTGTGTACCGATATCCCAAGTAGATGTTGTCACCTGTAAAGCACATATTATCCGTGGGATAATTTTCAGGTAAAGGTGAATATCTTGGGTGAAATGGTGGAGAAGGGCAATGCAAACCTTGGTGTGGACAAGGACAAGTTCAGCCTGCACTCAGCCATCTATTCAGCCCGACCGGATGCCCGATGCCTGCTTCACCTCCACACACCGGCCACAGCAGCAGTAAGTCACCTGGGAAATGGTGATTAATGACTTCTTGTAATTGTCCTAAATCAAATTTAAACCAATGTTTTGTTTCATGAGGTTGCGTGTGTGTGTGTGTGTGTGTGTGTGCGTGTGTGTGTGTGTGTGTGTGTGTGTGTGTGTGTGTTTCATGAGGTTGCGTGTGTGTGTGTGTGTGTGTGTATATATATATATATATATATATATATATACAGTACGTAGATAATGTGTAGGCACACATGTGATGTGGCTGTGTTCAAGGTTGGTAAAGTGTCACACTCAAACTCACCTTGAATGCGAGTCAACCCACCTGCCCCCATTTCAAGTGCCTCTGATTAATCCCAAATGAAGTTCATATTTTCTTGCCTAATAATGGAAAACTGATATGGTTTTGCATTTAAAAGGATTAATATTGGTCTAATTTTTTTGTATCTCGAAAGTCTTCCATTGAATAGTGCTGCATAGACCTTTTATATCCACTGTAGCTTCTTTCACTTCCTTAGCTAATATTTGTATTTTTGTTGATTATGTTAACACACATTAATACCCAAATTCAATCCATACGACCCTTTTTTTTCTTAATCGTTGTAATATTTTGATAAGGGGTGCTTTTTTTGCTTTAGGACCTGCCCTCAAAAACGTCTTTGCAGCCTAACATACAGGATGTTGATGTCAATACTTCTTTATGAGTTTTCACTACCAATGTCTGCCTTTAGGTGTCAGCTATGAAATGTGGCCTACTGCCATTGTCCCATGAAGCCCTCCTGGTTGGGGATGTGGCCTATTATGAATACAATGGAGTAATGGAGGTAGAGGAAGACCGTGTGGAGCTTCAGAAGAGCCTTGGGCCCACCTGCAAGGTTAGGAAACTACAAAAGGTTGATCACCCATACATTATAGTGGTTTGTTCAGCAGCGGTGTTGTGCTTTCCTCATGGGTGCAAAGAATGATTACTTAATTAGTGAATGTAGGACTGCTCCGAGAGGAGCGCTTTTAGGAAAGCCCTATGGATGCACTTGGATGGCCATCTAATTCTTGATCATTTAATCCGATTATATCATGGATTTCAATTATGTGAAGGTACTGGTGCTTAGAAATCACGGCATAGTGGCCCTGGGGGAGTCTGTGGAGGAGGCCTTCTACGCAATCTACCACATTCAGGCTGCCTGTCAAATCCAGGTACATGCACACAAACACCTTATCGAAACGTACTCATTTACATGGCCGCATTTTCAAATTATTCAATTTGATAATTCACTTTATGTATGCCAGGTATCAGCATTGTGCAGTGCCGGCGGTGAACAGAACCTGATTTTACTTGACCGGACCACCCATAAACCCAATCATGCTGGCACTGTGGGCTGGGCTGGGTCGACCTTTGGCCCAATGCAAAAGAGCCGCATCGGAGAACATGAGTTTGAAGCCTTAATGAGGACTCTAGATAATTTGGTGAGTCACCAAAAAAAAAAAAAAAAAAAAAAGATGTCTGGTTTCGTTTGCAATTAATTACATGTTGCAATAAATTTACCATAGTACAGAAAATGAGACTACAGACATCCCTTATAATTTGTCGTTCTGTTAATTATCCTCCATAAACCAAACTAATGAACAGGAGGGAAAACAAATGCAATACCGTATACCGTCATATCGATGTGACCTTTCTCTTACTTGACTTTCTTATTTATTCTGTGGCACACATATCTAGTTACATCCAGTAAAGTCCACCGACTCACATATTGTCACATGGGCTAGGCAGAGCCACCCTCCTCTGTGGTGGCGGCCAAGACAGTACAACAATAGGAACCATTTTGGACACATTAGACCTGTTTCATCTGGTAGAAAAACGTTGGCCTTATGTCAATCTTTCTGGCATCCATTAATTAGCTCAACTCATGATATACAGTCTTGGGGTAGTTACTGTTAATGTGGCGGGCATTAAAGATATGACATCTGAGGACCAGTAAAGGTTCGGTTGAACTTTTCACAAGAAATACCACATTGTATGGTGGTTTAAAACTTGAAGCTGTAGGCCTCCGAATCTTCCCACCAGAAATATACAACAAGCTGCTGTGCATAGAGTCCATTTTCATCAAAAAATACTATCCACAGTCAATTATTTATTGAATTGTAGCATCTATTTACTTAAGCAGCAAATATTTAATGTCGGTGGAATCACGTCAAAATAGTCGTGTTGTCGCGATGCGGAATTCCACTTATGTAGAATACATTCACCCAATCACAGGTGCCAGAAGCAGCCGTGTCCACTCCAAGGAAGTGCTGCCTTCTGTAGACAGAAAACGCTCACTTGTGATAGCATCAGCAAGGCAAAAAGAAAAAAAAAAAAAAAGAAAAAAAAAAAAAAAGAAAAAAAAAAAAAAAGAAAAAAAAAAAAAAAGAAAAAAAAAAAAAAAGAAAAAAAAAAAAAAAGCAATGTGTAGCAAAAATTGGGTCCCACCTTGTGATTATTTGGCAACAGAAACAGACAAGTTTCCCTGATCGGTATGTCAAAATCAACCAATAAATTAGAAAAGAACCAGACAAAAACAATACATAGTTTCACTGGAGGAGCTGTAGTTTTTCTCCTCTCCTTAGTTAAAGTTTACAAGCAATAAACAGGTGAATACTAGTTAGAGTTTTAATTCTTTCTAGTACGGTAGTGTGTTTCAACTTATTTCTATTTTGCATTACATTTATTTTCAACTGGACACTGTTTAAAAAAAAGTATAACTTTGTTTTGGGGCTTGAACGGATTAATTGCACTTACATTCATTTCAATGAGAAACATGACTTTTATTTATGGACATTTCAGGTTACGGAACTCATTAATTTTGTAACTTGAGGCTCCACTGTGTAAACATTTCCCAATTGGTCTCTTCCAGGGTTACCGTACAGGTTATGCTTACCGTTTCCCTTTGCTGCTGGAACGATCACGGTCACAAACACGAAAGGATATAGAGGTTCCTGCAACCACCACAGCCTTTCACCAGTTCAATGATGATGGAGTTCCTCTAGGTCTCAAGCAGCACCATTTTACCCATCGCCAACAGCAGGAGAGAACTCGATGGCTCAACACTCCCAATACCTACCAGAAAGTCAACCAGGAGCAAACCAGTCCTGGACACCAGCGCACCACTGTAAGGACGTAGTGTTGAAAATGGGATTAGTTTGGGGAATGATACCATATATTTGAACCAGTGGTCTTTTGCTGGACATAAACTATCCAAGTAAGGCTTTTATTGGGTCGATTATTGCCGTGTCAAGTTGTTGGTCAGCTGTGACAAAGATCTGATCTTGCACAGTTGAAGCAGAATCCTGACTTGATTTTGCCATTTCAGTGCCTCTCAACCTCACTCCACCTTTGCATCATGCTTTGACAAATTGTCGTCGATGGGCCGTCATGCGCCGACCCATCAATACAGTACACTGGTCTTTCGGGAAAATGAACATCTTTTCCACGTATTCCTGATGGCCACCCCGCCCCTGCCCTGGACCGAGCGCAACCCACTCGCAATCGTTGTACTGTATGTGTCCATCAAGTCTTAGCACAATAAAAATAAGAAGCATTGGCATTCTTATTACCGCTCATCCAAAGTCAGCTAATGCTTAATATCATAATTTGAACAAGTCTAGTAAAAGCATTTCAAAGATCTGGAATGTATTTCTTATTGTTGTCAGAGTGACCATCGCCGGGACTATTTTTGTTTCTTGAAAACAAATGAAAATGGGTGAAGTTGCACTGATTGGTACGATTGAGGTTTTTATAGTTGACTTTATATCCACCTATTTTCCTTGTCCCTGATTTATTATTTATCAGTTCAGGTTTTATCCTGCCTCTCTGTTTTGGTCAGCTCCTGGGATACACTCCAGTTTCCACACAACCGGACATGACTAAGTGATGTTGAAAATGGATAGTTGAATTGATGGAAAAAGGAAATTGGACATCCGTTTCATGCCATTGGGAGGAGCTAGTTTTCCCACACTGTTTACCGCCTCCATCCCACCTCAATAAAGCCCTGCAATGCAGAGAAGACGCCTCAACTAGATTTTTGAGTTTGCTGCATAGTCTGCCCTCTGGTGGCAGAATAAATAAGCATCTTCAAGAGGAAGATGGAATACTGTACACTTTGGAAGCCCGTCATCTCATTAAATAGCAAAGAGGGTTTGGTGTTTTGTCAACCAACTGTTGTCTCTCTCCCTCAGTGGATGAAGACAGAAGAATTGACACAAGGCGCCAGTACCGCAATCAAAATAGAAAACCCAAACCAGTTTGTGCCTCTTTTTACTAACCCTCGGGAAGTCATCGAGACACGAAACAAGGTAACCTACCTGTGAACACAGGTGTTCAAGTACAGTATACTTGTTTCACTTTATTTTTCCACCTTAGATCCGTGAGCAGAATCGTCAAGACATGAAGACAGCAGGGCCTCAGTCTCAGGTCCTCGCCAGTGTTGTAACGGATGACAGTCCTCCGGTAAAACGCAGTGTCTTTATACATACTATACAGTTGTGTTCAAAGTAATAGCAGTGGGCTTTAAAATGTGTGTAAAGCTCAAAATCATTTCCATGCTTTTATTTCATTGCATAGCAAGAGAACTGCTTTACATCTGCGTTGCATGAGGCTGACCAGCTTCTTGCAACTGTGAGCTACTAGTATTCCAGCCCAGGTTGACAACATTCCACTAGCTTCCGAAACCACAGGACAGAGTGAGGTGGAAAGTGTAACTGCCAGTAAGCAGTTGTAACGTTTGGGTAATACAGGGACATTGAGGTGATGGAGGTAACGTTAGCTGGCTTCCTTTAGATACTTTCCGCAATGGTGATTGATTAATATTGCTAAATACTTGTGGTCCAAATCAACTACCATTGCTCAAGAGCCGTCACGTGCATACTTGCAAACACTTGGCAAAACCTTGCTATCACTTGTTGTAATGAAATGGCAGATTTCCAAGGCTGAGAAGTTGTGGATCAGCAGCAATTAATAGTTCATTTTAGGCCACATCGTAACATTTTAGATATTGTCATGAAAGGTGTGTTGAAAGGGCTGACTATTTGTTTGCATTAGTAGCATTGCTCTATGCTATAGTTGAACATGTTGAAATAAATGATCATTTAAAGCTTTGCAACTTTAACATGAGTGGTCAAGTGGTTAGCGCGTCAACCTCACAGTGCAGAGGTACCGGGTTCAATTCCAGCTACGGCCTCCGTGTGTGGAGTTTGCTTGTTCTCCCGGGCCTGCGTGGGTTTTCTCCGGGTATTCCAGTTTCCTACCACATTCCAAAAACATGCATGGCAGGCTGATTGAACACTCCAAATTGTCCCCAGGTGCGAGTGTGAGCGTGGATAGTTGTTCGTCTCTGTGTGCCCTGCGATTGGCTGGCAACCAGTTCAGGGTGTCCCCTGCCTACTGCCCGAAGACAGCTGGGATAGGCTCCAGCACCCCCCGCGACCCTTGTGAGGATAAACTGATCGGAAAATGAATGAATGAAGTTTAATATGCTTAAAGTAACCGCAAAAACAAGTATACATGTATTATGAGCAAAAGTCAACTCCTCACTGAGTAAGAGTAAGACAGTGTCAAATGCTTTCTGCTTCATCCCTGTTTCATTTTACTTATTTATTTAGTTTTGGGTTGTTGCAACTTGCTTCTTATTGCCTTTTTAAAGAAGGCATCACTTTTTCGGATGAAGCCTGTCCAAAACTGATATAGATTTCAATAAAACAATCAACTGAATTAAGTACAGCATACAACAGTGTTGGTATGAAGAAATGACACAAAGGTGATGGAATTTAGGATGATGCTGATGATGATGTAACATTACGCTTCAAATAAACCTATGGGAGTATAACTGTACATGTTGAGTAAATCTACTTATTTGCTTCCAAGCCTTTTTCCTTTCAATGGTTATTTGAAAGACTTTTGTATGATGCCGCTATTATTTGTTTGGTTAATAAACACATCCAGCCCTTTCTTTTTGGTTATCATGGTTGGTGTATGAAGCTACTAAATGGAAAGAACTGCTGTTATCGCGAACACAACTGTTTCTCCTTGCAAATCCTCTCTATAGCTAGGAGCTGTGATTTTCTTTTTGTCCTTTCATTCAGTCACCGGTCATTCCGCCCCAAGAACCACTAGAGCCCGAAACCCCCAACCCCTTTAATCAGCTGACAGACCAGGAGCTAGAGGACTACCGCATGGAAGTGCAGAAGAAACGAGACATTGGGGCCAATGGTAGGTTTCATCCAGCCAGTCTTGACCAAACTTTGTATGCTTTGTCTCGTTTGAAGACAGACATTTGTTCTCCGTTAAGCTCGAACTAAAGTTGTCATTTATAGCCGAATTAACTTTCTCACAATACATAACGATGCCCAAACCAGCAAGGTATATTTGCAAACACTGCAACATTTTAGTAGTTGAACTGTCTGCTGACTCTATCTCAGCTGATTTAGTCGATCATTCAGAGGGACAACATGTCAGTCGTATTAAGACAACCATTCACACTGACATTTACACTTTACCGATAAGTTAAAACTTCAATGAATCAAACATACTGAACTTATTTTTGGACGCAAATCGCAGAGAGGACATGCACTGTACTGGACTTTCCAAAATTGAAAGTTCATCTTCCTTTGGTCTGGGCACTGTGAGATGTTATGTCTCATGTCAAACTTTGTGTTTTGTGTCTTTGTTGCCTGACATATGTTGTTCACAGTGTTCTTTATATACTGTATATCAATTCATCATCTAAGTCGGTACACAAGGGATGGGCGCTACCCCATTTTTTTGGATTTGATATGAAAAGCAATGCTTTGTCTTGCAATTTCATCAATACCGATACCGACCATTTCTTATTGTTGCATTTTTTTTCACTTATGGGTAAATCACATGACAAATATTTGTCATTCACATTAATTATATCGTAAAGAATACCTAAAAATAAAAAAAGTCAAATAAATAACATAAACATGAATACACATATTGGAAAATGTATATTTATTATTCTAAATTGATTTGAGCCAGGAATGTCCATTATAAATCAATGTATCCTCTTTAAATCCCCTCTGCAAAGGTTTTGATTCTTACTCATCCATTCCGAATAAAATAAGTTATTTTTATACCTGCTTCAATTGAGTGTTCAGACCTCTGAAAATATATGCATATTCAAACTCATAAGTGTAGTTCTTGCATAATTACTTCATCAATATATTCAATAAACAAAAAACCAATGTCTGCTTTCAGTATTGAGGACAGAAGAGAATGATTGTCTTAACCTGAAGTTCGACTTCTTTATTGTGATTCGATAAACACACGGTCAGTGCACATTTTAAATTAAATTTTGGTACCTCAGCTCACAGTACCGATGAATTAGAAAATAAACAGAATGACATCTATAATCTGAACCACGTTATTCTTACGAGGGTCACGGGGGTGCTGGAGCCTGTCGCAGCCGTATTCGGGCAGTAGGCAGGGTACACACTGAACTGGTTGCCAGGCAATCGCAGATCACACATAAACAAACACTCAGTCACACCTAGGGACAATATAGAGTGTTTCATACACCTACCATGCATGTTTTTGGAATGTGGGAGGAAACAGGAGTACCCAGAGAAAACCCACGCAGGCACGTGGTGAACATGCAAACTCCACACAGGAATGAATCAAACCACAACCTCTGCACTTTGAAGTAGATGCGCTAACCAGTCAACCACCATGCCTCCACTATTGCTTCTTATTATTCATCATTCGAAGCACACTGAGGCAAGGTTTTCCACCCTTCTTCTTGACTTAACTACATTTGCACATGCGCACACAGACACTTTCATAGGCACCACGGGTGATGATTAGTTAGCACTTCCTCTTCTGTGCAGAGGTCCTGGATTTGAATCTGGGCTCCTGCCTTCCTGTGTGGAGTGCTGATGTTGTCCCCATGCCTGCGCGGATTTTCTTTGTGTACTCTGCTTTCCTCCTACATTATATGCATGGAAGGTTGATTGAGCACTTTAATTCTCCATTGGTGTGTATGTGAATGTAAATGGTTGTTCGTCTATGTGTGCCCTGCGATTGGCTGGCGACCAGTTCAGGGGGTACTTGACTCCCCTCCGAAGACAGTTGGGATAGGCTCCAGCACACCCGCGACCGTCGTGAAGATAAGCAGATCAGATGATGGATGGATGGAAATAAGAGAATAAAGTGACATAGTGATTGTATTGTACCGTCAACATCATTTTAGCAGCATTATTCCACTAATTATAAACTTGTCGTATTGTGCAGATCTTGAGGAAGAGTGTGGTGTGGTGGGTGGTGGCTGTTGCAGTCCCTATATTGTTATTTAAAAGTCTTATGGCCAGGAGAAAGAAATTTGCCCTGAATCTAGACGTCTGGGTGTTGCTCCAGATTTCAAGGCATCATTCCACTGCCTAAAACGCTGCTCATACCTTTCGGTCATCTTTGTCATTGGCCCTTGGTGTGATGATCATGTTGCCAGAAATATCCTCGGCGCTGTTCTCTCCTGTTCTCCACTAGTTCAAAAAAATGGCATTCTAATTGATATTGTCTTTGCGGAATATTAGTTAAGCATTAAAATCCACCCATTTTTACGCATCTCAGGGGCGGCCATTTTCTGTCAGGTGAAAATGACATCACAGTTGCTCAGGGCTCGGGTAACAACCAATCACGGCTCACCTGTTTTCTGATGCTGAGCCACTGAAATGACAATGAAGGACTGACAATCACAGTTTTGCTTGTGCTGGAAAAAAATGACTGACTGACGATGACGGACGGGTGCCCAGGCCGCTGACAAATGGCGGACTGGAAAAATGTTAATTGCTGTGATGATTACCATTGAGAAGTAACTGTAAATACGTTTGTGTTGTGGTAAAATCAGATTGTGATTATAAACATTAAGGACAAAGTAACAGACACAACACAAAACAAGGTGCTGTGCACCTGTATACACTTAGCCTTTTTGCAAGCTTTCTATCTGGGTCAAGCTTGGTGCAGCTTGTCTTTTCAAGATCATTGTGGCTGTGGGGTGTGGCCTTCAGGTGTTTGAACATATTGTGAAACTCTTTTGGTACACATTTGACACTTTGCTACTACTTCATTGAGTGGTGTAAGATAATAGCATACCACGCTTTGGTTTCGCCATCCCCCCCCCAGCTCCGTCACTCTGTGCTGGCTGTGTTAGAGTCGTACATTTGACGGTATGTCTCAACTTTCCTTGTCAACATGACACGGACTAGAACAATACACACTATGTGTGGCAGTGTAACTTTTTCACAGTGAATGGTTGAAAGTGATCCATTCACCCCCAATTCAAATTCCTAAGTGAATATTGAGTAAACCTATGCCAAACACATCTGAGTATCAATATATCGAAACCACAGTATTGATATGCCCATCGCTACCGTGCACAACAATCATCATGGGCGTCTGCTTTTCTTTGCCTCACAGCTACAATTTCTGCGCAGCTGAGGAATTGTCTCAGTCTGTCAGTATGTTGTTCTGTGCTTTGTGTAAGTAGGGGAGGAGGTGGCAAATGACTCTTCCCCTGCTAGCTCCCCCACAAAGGGCCCTCTGCCCAATCACCCCACCCTTTCAGGTGAGGCTTTTGAGGTGCACTCACTGCCTGCCCTGCATGCCATGCACTTTGGCTATGTGACCCAGCTGCCTGCTGCAGCCTCCCATGAACAATTCTGATCGACTCTGCTCTTCTGCTTTTACCCTCTCTTGCTTCAAATGGTCCCTGATGGCCATGTTACTCCTCATAGTAGTCACCACCACCTCTGTAGAATTTGATCTAACTACCTACAAGCTGATATCCAAGTATAACATAAGCATTTGCAGTACACATTGAATTGGCTGTCAAGATACATATGCAATGACCAAGTATTTTCCCACTATTCTAAATGTGACGATGTAGACAATTCATAAATAATTCATTCTCAAATATTGGTGACCTTGTGATGTGATGGTGGCCACATGCATAACATTTTCGACATTTTTTTCCCCTAATAATATGTAATACGAAAAAAGTATCATATACAGTACAGGGGGCAGCTACTGCCTTGACTCAAAAAGGTGACTACCCCTAGCAGAACATATGATAAACCTCAGTCTAGATTCAAAATAAGCGATGAAAATATAGAGCATTTTTTAATGGACCTCATGCTTACTCAACTCAATTCAACTCAGCTGTATTTATAGAGCACTTTCAAACAGCCATTGCTGCAACAGTTACAGTTACAACAGTACTTCCCCGTAACCATGTTGTAAACATTTTATTTTCTTCAATCGATCGTTACTGCTGTGACAATTGTTACATCTGTGGCTGTCCCACATACAATATCTTCCACAGCTGAAGGGGGTCACATTGGGTGTCAGGTTTTAGCTGTTGTCTGTTTTCTCGCAGAACATTTTGGCTAGCTTTAAACAAGCCTACATGGCATCTGAAGCCAATCAATGGTGGCTTGCAGGTTTACATGTGTCTCAAGTCAAAATGTTTTGTTACCTCAGTCATCAGTGTTGATACAGATCCATTTGTCCCTGTACCCACTGTATCTCCTGTACCTGTGTCCCTCTGTGTCTGTCTGTCCTTTTCTATGTTACTCCGCAATTGATTCATAGGGCACACCTCTGGTGCTTTGGTCTTGTCTCACTAGTAAGTACAGAAACTGCACACATCTCACGAAGTGCGCATGCCCATCTGCACTGATAAGATGCACTTGGATGCCATTTGGCTTTGCTCCTCCAACAACATTCGAGACTTTGTGCCCTACTACTAAAATCTTGCCATTGTGTTTGCATTTTCTTACAATTCCCGGCACAGGAGACGCAAAGACGGCTTCAGCAGTCATACAGAACGAAGGTGAAGAGGAGACGCAGGCTGAAGAGCTCGAGAAAGGGATAAAGGCTCTTTCAACTAACGACACTTCCACACCTGCTGCTCTGCCTGCCAAACCACAGGGTGGCACACCGGAAGGTTCGCCATCCAAGTCCCCGTCCAAAAAGAAGAAGAAGTTCAAGCCGCCATCATTCCTGAAAAAGAGCAAGAAGCAGAAAGAAAAAGTAGAAACTTGAGTGGATTAGCGCCAAACCTTAATGAAATATTGCTGTGAAATATTTCTTTGCGTAGAATACAGAAACAGTCGGGTGGTGTTCACTGCAGGTCTTTTCAAAACCAGTCAGTAACAAAGCCATTTTCCAACCCAGTAAAGACAGATTTATTGATTGTGGGTCACTTCCAACCCACCGCTACTACTATTCATCACGCAGGCTTTGTATTTCTCATGTATTTTATTCACCTACATTTGTTCAAACCAATTTTACTGTGACAGATACAAATCCCATTTTGCGTATTGCCTAAATCATTTGTATTCACCACTCCGAATCGGTCCCTTAACATCACGAGAAAAGCACTTCATTGATCACAGCATCTTGTATTTGTTTAGTTATAAATATCACATTGAGATTGCTGGTGCATATGTGAGCACATGTGCATTACGTCTAGAAACGTGTACTAATAGCTACTGATTGTGCTCTGAAAGCTGTTAATTGTAAATCTGTCAGACTGTAGATGTTATTATAGCAGGAATACAACAAAGATGAACGGCAGGCAAAAATCATACTGTCTTGCAAGAAAACAAAAGTGGCTATAAAATATGCTTGTAATTGCAGCTTAAAGACTCGTAAATACACTGAAGGCACGAAAACATTCCACTTTGTCCATATTCCTCTTTATGCGTATGCGAAATACCTCCAAACCATCAAATATGCTTTCTGTTTTAAGTCTGTTGGTGAAAAACAAATGCTGATGCGATGTTTAATCATGATTTTGATTATTTTATATTACAATGTGTATGTGAATGTTGCAAGTCCACCCTATATGCATACAGTATACATATATATATATACCTGTCATTAAAGTTTTATTTCAAAATCAACTGAAAAAGTTTCAGACACTCTCAGTCCTTAAATTTCCCTTTTGTTCATGATAGTCATATGCGTTGTACAGAGCTTTTCTTTATACTCAAAGATGCTTCAACCATAACAATCATGACGTGTTTTTGTACATTCAAAAGAAAAATAGCAACATTCGGGACACATTACGTATGGAGAATTGTTTTTAGAATTTATTCCAGCTATCCATCCATTTTGTAATCCGCTTTATCCTCATGAGGGTCGCGGCCATGCTGGAGCCTACCCTAGGTGTCTTTGAGCAGCCAGTGGGGTACACCCTGAACTGGTTGCCAGCCAATCGCAGGGCACACAGAGACATACAACCATTCCTGCCCACAGTCACACCAAGGGACAATTTAGAGTGCCCACTCAACCTGCCATATTTGTTTTTGGCATGTGGGAGGAAACCGGAGTAATCGGAGAAAACCCAAGCAGGCGCGTGGACAACATGCGAACTCCACACAGGAAGACCGCGGCCGGAATCGAACTCATGACCTCTGCCCCTGTGAGGCGGACATGCTAAAGAGTCAACCGCCATCTCACCCAAATATATTCTATATCCCTGATATTTAGCTTACGGTTCATTTACTATTTTTTTCTGTGCACGAGTTGACATTTGTGACATTTGTCCACTAATAGTACAACTGGTTAAGTACATTACATTAACATGTAGCTGAATTTTACACAGTTGTCAATTTGTGCACAGTTTTGCCTCACCAAGGTAACATGTCGTTGTCCTGCTCGTATGCCAAAGTTGTCCTATAAATGAGGCCAAACAGCGCACTAGCAAACGGACCTAAAACTGGAATTTTCCTTTGTTGAAAGAATACTTAGAGGGCCTTCAATACACTGTCATTGTCCGTCGCCCTACAAGGTGGACACCCGACTCGATAGGGGGCGCAGTAGAAAAAAGCTAAACGGAAGTTGTTATTGGACACAGCGGAAGTTCCTCTTTTAAGGTGTTGAACAGGGAAAGATACAACTGAAATTTATTGAATCTCTTCGTCCTACGCTTCGTCGTGTGGAATTCATTCTACTTTTTCGCTCAATATTTGATTAGTTGAAATGGGAAGGAGCCGGAGTCGAACTCCTCCAAGGCGTGGTAAGAAATTACATGATTCTGTGCCTGTTTTGTATGGGTCGAATAAAGAAGGTTCTTAATTAAATATACATTGCTAGATTATATTCGGTGTTTATTCAGCCTCGTCCTCAAAAGTATTGTATTGTTTGTGTAGTACAGACGTGCTTTTTGACATTAGCTTCCTGTAGTGAGAAAGTAAACGTTTGTATACTGGCAGTCGTAAGAGGCAACAACGTAAAATTCGAAAGTTATCGTACTTAAGTCGTATTTTTGCCTGTCGTTAATTAACCTGAGCATTTACTTTTCCCATAACCTTTTTATTTTCGTCTTTTGCGTTTCCTGAACATCGCGATCTTACTTTCCACTCCTTACTTTGTCAAAATAGGCTCGTTACTTTCTTTAACCCCCGCGAGTGATATCACGACAAAAGACAACATAGAACCAACTTTTTTCCATTAGTCAGAAATGAAGAAACTGGAATCAGTGAATGTAGCAATAAACTAAAGTAATGTTTAGTATGCAACTGTCTACCAATTAAAGCTACTACAAAAGTCAAAATGAAAAAACAATGGATTTCCTGTATGGTGATTCGTGTCGTATATGTCGTTTGCGGACAGTCCTTGAAATCACAATATCTGTCAGAAAAAATGCAATTCTATGTTTTTTTTAAACTGTTCAGCCCAAAAACAGATGTTTTCGTAGGGTTGCAAACCACACTCACAGCGATAAGTGTGTTTAGTGGACAGTTATTGAAGCTCGTTTTATCACGATCGATGCCGTGTCTATTTAATGTGAGCTCAATGCACATTGACGTCTGCCCTCATTCTGCAGAAAAGAGCTCTTCATTTCACTGACAAGTTCAACACGACTCGCGCTGTTTTATTATGAGCGACTCTGAGCGAGTTTAGAGGAAAGTCTACAACAGGCCTACAAAGGAGAGCACCAACACAGCAGAGTCCTTCATTGGATTTTCATTTAGTGTTTGATTTTAATTTATTATTTTTAAAAGCTGACCTTTTTTAAAATGCAATAAAATGAAGTGATGTAACATTATAATTCCGAATATCGCCCGATAATGAGCAACTCGATAATTGTGCATCTCTACTTTTTACTGTGATGTTAAATTCTGTACATTTTTCTAACCATTATTTAAGTATAGGAATTGAATCAGTACTTTCCACATTTGCCAGTCTTTGTTCATACAAGTATGTGTTCTGCACCTTTTAATTTTAGAGTGTGAGTACTCTTGCCTGTCTTTTGGTGAATGTAAGGTAGAAAAGCGGAACACTTACTGAAATTTATCTAATTCAATGTGTACCGTGTGCTATCTAAATACTATATTGCAGTGCTATCATAATGGGTTCAACTCTTGTATCCCTATGTTAACTCTTATCCTTATTGCCTGCAGAGAGGAGGCGTTCCCGTTCAACTTCACGAGAACGCGATCGAAGGAGAAGGGAAAGGGATCGGTCACGAGATCGTGACAGAGAAAGGAGAAGAAGTCGTTCCCGATCTCCCCACAGGAGACGTTCAAGGTGAGGGAATCTTTATTTATTTATTTTTTTATTTTAAGGCAATTATAAAGTTCAATACATTTTGTGTTGAAAAGAAATTTGACTTGAAATAATGTTACAAATTACAAAGCTGTACAGCAAACCGCTGATATATCACTGTTCATCTGTTACTCCCCCAGCAACTACTGTCAGAGCTCGTAATAGTCAATGTTGCCACAGAACATAAAGAATACATGAAGAATATCTGAGTTAGTGATGCCACTGATTATAATCAGCCAATTTCCTTGGGAAAGTATGTGTTTGGCAAATGTCGATCAATCCCTTTCATTGCCACAAAACCCAATCACCCGCAGTGTAGAGACCAGCCCATGTGCAGTTTTGTGTCCTCTCTTCCCTTCCTTCACAGAATGCAGGCACGCGGCAAACCTGCCTTATGGAGCTTTTGTGATTTGAGAGTGACTTTAAGTTTGCGTCTTGTACCGCCTGCTATAAAAAGTTACCTTGCGGTGAGAGTACGTTAAAAGGCTTCCAAGGGGGAAAATGACATACAACATTCGAAGAACAAACACTGAGTGGAAGATGGTGGGTTTTTAAAGGAAAACGGAGTTGCAGCAGTCAAAAAGCAGCTAATGCAGCGCACGCTGTGCAACATGAGCGTGACTGTCAGAAGGGTGAACAGAAAACCGGAAAAATAGGATTTATCGGACTGAATGACCAGCTTTTCTCAGTGGTCTACTGTCTGCTCTCTCAGTTGGAGCCCCGCTATGCTACCTGCTTGCAAAGATTTCACAGATGTAGCCATGTCAGAACTCCATCAGACGATATACTCTCACATCAAAAGTCTCCTTTAATTAAAAAAGGGGTCTCATGTTCTGCAAGTTTGCTCCTCATTACAAAGAATCTTAAGCAACTCTCAATAGTACATATTCTCTGAGTCCTGTGGTCCTCCGTGAAAGCCTAGTGATCATTTTTGTACTTAATACATCGAAGATATTTGATGATCAAAATATTTGCCCATTTTCTGACATGTTACACAGACCATGAATCACAATTTGGTTGTGCGATTTCACTACTGTCAGTTAAAATATGTTGTCTTTTTCAATAAAGGGATGGAAATATAAAACGTTTTGTCTTCATCCGATCACCAATTCATTGAAAAAATAATTGACAGATTCATTGATTATGAAAAGAGCAACGTAACAATCTTGCCATAGTGGTGGAATTTTCCATTTAAAAAATAATAATAAGCACTGGAAATAGCTCAAAAATTTCTGGAGATGGATGGATCCAATGAACCCAAGCTTCATCCTCAAAACAGGAAATCTGTGGCATAAAATATCCACCCATCCAATTTCTGAACCGCTTATCCTCACCAGGGTCACAAGTGTGCTGGAGCCGCTCCCAGACGATTTTGGGCGGTTGGCATGGCACACCCTGAGCTGGTCAGCTGCCAATTGCAGGGCACACATAGACAGTCACACTTACAGTAGGTTCAATTTAGTGTCCAATCAACCTACCATGAATGTGGGAGGAAACCAGAGGACCCAGAGAAAACCCACGCAGACATGGGGAGAACATGCAAACTGCACACAGGAAGAACGGAGCCGGAATGGAACCCTGGACATCAGTACTGTAAGACGGGCATGCCAACCAGTCGGCCAACATGCTGCCCGGCGTAAAATTAACCCAACTAATTTTTAATGTATATATTGATATATCTACTTGAGATAATACTGTTTGATATTCATAGATTTTGCATGATACTTTCATTAAAGTAAATAAGAATTTTCAACCATTCAGGGTGGCTATTTCCGAAGATGTCGTTGTCAAGGTTACAAAAGACTAACTTTGAGGGCTGTTTTACAACTTTTGGCATAAATAGTATCAAGTAGAATTAACTGTGTAGCACCAAACGTCATTCTGTAGTTCAGGAGTAGCGAACTCCGGTTCCCCGAGAGCCATGTCCTGCCTGTTTTAGATCTCTCTCTACTTCAACACACTTGATTCAAACAACCAGCTCATCAGCAAGCTCTGTTGAAGCCTGAAACGATAATGATCAATTGAATCAGGTGTGTTGGAGTAGGGAGGGCTCTAAAACAGGCAGGATATGGCTCTTGAGGAACCAGAGTTCCCTTCCCCTGCTGAAGTTGCACCAAACAAGCTTTAGCCAAATCCATTTAGTAATGCTCGAGAAATAATGTCACGAGTGAAATCACGTAAATCTATTAGAGTCCCCGTTACTATAGCAACACATGCTGATAGTTCACTGTATTTTTCGGACTACACGTCCTACTTTTTTTCCCCATAGTTCAGCCGGTTCTGCTGGTGACACTGTGGGAACAGCGGAGTGTAAGACGACACAACCACACACTGTACCTTTGACAAAACAAGGAAACGTTGGCCAGACACATCACCTACACACTTATTGATACTGACCTTATGCGGGTATAACTTGGCAGGATGTCTGATATTCGCTTAACATTCAGTTCTTACATGATCGTACTCTGCATCTTAACAACATCAGCGACTCTATCACGTGGAGTATATGGCGGAACATTTCTACTATCCGTCAAAAGATTACGGCTACATTTGTTGTCATGACAAATGTATATGCAGTAATGACGGCAAACTCTGCATCTCTTTTGCTGTCCGTCTTAAGGACAAATAACAAAACCGTATTCGATGGTGACATAAGTGGCACAAATCACTAGAAATCAAATAGAATTTTTTTTTTCTCATTCTGACAGCTGTAGTAAACACAAATACTCATTTCGATTGCTGCAGCTGTTGACGGTGGTAGACGAGTACCTACTGCAGCTTGAAATGTAATGATGTCTGTCATTGTGGAATAATTGGACATATTTCAGTGGACATACTTTTAAATATTCCCAAAAATCAATGAAAACACCATATATAGCCTGGACATCATTTTAAATTGTTCATTGGTCAATATTGCCACAGAATATTGTTTTGCAGAAGATGAATGAAGCAATTTAAATTTTAAACAAGAGCTGCTGTTCAGTAACGCTGTCTATCCATAATAGTGTTGTGAAGCAAGTACAATATTGAATTGATTGTTTTTTTTTTTTTTTTTCAGAATATCGCTAATCGAGTTTTAGGAAAAACTATTGAGAGATATTTTTAGTCCATATAAGATAAGATAACCTTTATTTGTCTCACAATGGAGAAATATCCCCCACCCCTAGTCCCTCTACACCGCAGATTTTCACAGAGTGCAGGTGGGTCTGGAACATACACTCATAGTCAAGAAATGGGGGTTCACTGACTGCACTTAACAGTCATTATTTACGTCTATTTGTACACTCAGTAGTTGTGATAACTCGTCCTGCAGCTGTCTATGTCTCCCTCTGCAGGTCTCCTCGACGCCATCGCTCCTCCTCTCTCTCACCCATGAGGCAAAAAGACCGACGTGACGATGACCGTAAAGAGAAGTCATCAAAACCCATTCAAATATCAGGTACAACAGATATAACAGGCAACCTCCAAAGTGGAAGTTTGAGTTCCAAAACAAATGTTTTTGTCAGAAATAACATTTCGTGAATTGTCACTTAAAAAAGTGGTCCTCAACCTTTTTTCGGCCACAGGCCAACTCATGGTCTGAGTGACATTTTGCTGATTGGCAACCAACCGTTCCGTTGATGGTGGTGATTGCTCGGTGGGTGTCGGGCGCGAGGGTGGGGGTGGAGTGGGTTATGACTAAGATTCCTTCCCGGGTGATAACATACTTTGGAAATATTTATTTATTTTATTTATTTATTGTATTTCTTTCTTTGGGACAGCGCACATTAATCAACACGAGAATAAACAGTGTAAATGCGCCGGACTTAGCATAAATGCTAGTTTTCAGCCGTAGCAAGTGGGGGCTGCGGTGCGGCGTTTGGAGAGCACTGACTTCAACTTTCAACAAAACCTTTATTTTCTGTGTAATGTTTAAAGTAACACCATAACACAGACTCTAACCACTAAGTAATTAACAAAATAAAGCATAACTACTCACGTCTTTTAAGATATTTGACACACACGAGGGACTAATAGTTCAAATGTGCTGCATGTTGACTAGCTTAGCCATTACGTTTTCGGCTACATGTGATGCATGTTAGTATCAGCTTGGAGGGATGAATTTCTCTCAGGAATGTTTAATGTACTGACTTGCACTAGCCCCATCCCTTAGTTGCAGGGTTAGTGTTTTTTCCTCAACTTAACTTCCCTAGTAACGGAATTCACACACCTAATTTTTTTTTTTTTTTTTTTTACAGCTGAGGACATGCAAGGCAAAACTGAGGAAGAAATTGAGATGATGAAACTAATGGGATTTTCAACATTTGACTCTACTAAGGTAAGTGTGTATGATGTGCAAGCACCATAAGGGGCAAATTGTGGTTTTAAAGAAAGTTAAGATAAGATTAAAAAAAAAAACCTTTATTCGTCTCACAATGGAAAAATTCCCAATTCACAGCAGCAAAAATCATGAAAGGGAGAAGTAGAAGAACAAAAAGTATATAAGTAAGTATAAATTATAAAATATATATACAGTACAAGCATATTCAGAATGGGTGAGTGGGGGTGAGTCAAGGTATTCAGGTCAGGTCTGTCCATTCAATAGCCTGACAGCAGTTGGCAGGAACGAGCGGCGGTACCTCTCTTTCTTGCAGCGTGTGTGTATCATTCTCTGGCTGAAGGAGCTGCCCAGTGCTGTCACGGTGTCCTGGAGGGTGGGTGGAAGGGTCTGTCCATCATAGCTGTTAACTTAGCTAGCATTAGCATCCTCCTGTTGCCCACCTCCTCCACAGTGTTTAGGGAACATCCCAGGACAGAGCTGTCCCTCCAAACCAGTTGGTCCAGTCTCTCTGTGTCCCGGCTGAGATGCTGCCTGACCAGCAGACTATGTCGTAATGAATGGCTGAGGCCACCACAGAGTCATAGAAGGTCTTAAGGAGTGACCCTTGAACTCCAAAAGACCTCAGTTTTCTGAGCAGGAAGAGCTCTGCCCCTTCCTGATCAGAGTGTCCGTGTTGGTAGACCAGTCTAGTTTATTGTTGAGAAGAACACCCAGGTACTTGTAGGTCACCCTCTCTCTGTCCGTACTAAAAGTACCCAGTAGTTCAACAAATGAATAAAAATTAAAGTGGTATATTTTCATTCATGAAGTTGACATCTCCCTCATTTAACTGACAAGTGATCTTTCATTTGTTTAGTGATATAAAGAATCTCCAATCAGTCACTTGGGTTTTTTATTTCTTATATGTCACCACAATACCGGATATTTTTGGGAGTAGAATAGAATTTGTCACTGGCACAGCCTCACAGGAACAATGAAAATCAGTTTGTCTCAAAAAAAAAAAGTCTGAGCAGTGTTCTCATCGCCATCACAAAAAAAAAAAAAAGTCTGAGCAGTGTTCTCATTGCCATCACACACACACACACGTGAAGAGCACTTTTTTTTCCACAATACTATATTGATTCATACTGTATATGGCAGTGGTTCTCAAACATTTTACATCAAATTCCAAAAAAAAAGGATCCGTAGCACTTCAAATGCCATCATTGTGACCAACATTGAGAAAGGTTGCATCATTAAAATAGTCTTCTTGGCGCTGTCTTGCTGAAATAAGCAGGAACGTCCCTGAAAAATATATTGCTTGAATGTCGGCTCCAAAACCTGGATATGTACCTTTCAGCTTGCTACACCCGAGCCCACACATTTTCTGCTCGATTCAGATGAGATGATTTGGGGAATGTTTGAAAGACATGTTCTGTTTTCAATCAGGGGAAGAAAAGTGAAGGAGCCACGAATGCATATGCTATCAACACCACCATGAAAAGAAAATACAGGTATGACAAGTGTGTAAGAGAAGACGTCCTTTATTGTTCTCCACAAGTGGAAATTATAAAAATGGAATATTACTGTTTGAGTAGAGCTAGTTGTGCCGTGCTGTCAGGTCTTACTGCCTTGTCACTCGGATGTCATGTTAGTCATCTGTTGTTGATCATATTGCTGGTTTAAAATGTCAAGTTTTAAGTCCCCTCACAGCAAGCATCATTACTGCTCTTGTCAATACAGCCAATCACCTCTGCAGGTGTTTCTGTGCAGAGATTCTAGCTCCCCTATTGGTGTTTGATGATGTCATCTGCAAGTGTTGCGAGGGTAACAGTGATGTAATGTTTTTTTCTTTTATTATTTTCTAGGCAGTACATGAACAGAAAGGGTGGATTCAACAGACCGCTGGACTTTATCGCATGAAACTCTTTTTGCCGCTACACTCTTGAAACATTTTGTTGCACTTGACAAAATGAGGATGTTTTGTGCTGTTTGCTTTTATTTTTGTGACCTTTTGTTTTGTGGGATGCAGGACTTTCCGTCGAAATTTTTGATTAATAGAGACATCAATATTCCTCTCTTTGATTCTGCTACACCATATTTTAGTATTGATGCATGGTTACACGCAGCCTCATGCGGTTCTACTGTAGTTGTGTAAAACAATTGAAATAAAAAGCATTTCAACTCAGTGCAGGCAGTGTTTTTAACGTGCCTTTTTAAACTGAAACATTTGGACGCAGTGGTATATCAACTATTTAAATTGATAAGGCACTACCTCTACAGTACTGAATCAATGCAGCAAATGATCAATTCACTGATTTTATGATAATGTATATATTTAAATATATACACTCCTCCCCAAAAATAAATGGAACACCAAAACAACCCAGTGTTAACTTCAAGTCCGTTACGGTACTCTTCTGTGAAATCAGCAATGCTGATTGTAAATCCGTTTTTGACTTGCTGTTGTGCGTACTGGTGGAAGTGAGAGGCTATTACCAAGACAACCCCAATCAAGGTGTGGTTATGAAGGTGGCACGCTCATCGTTTTTGGTCACATTTGTATTTTGTCAGTATCCCACCTCTGGAGGTACCATGTGACGATGTCTACCGCTCGCTGAGTTCGCCCAGGTAGTGCTGCTCATCCAAGATGACACATCAATGCGAGCTGTGGCAAGAAGGTTTGCCGTGACTCCTAGCAGTGTCATGGAGGAGATAACAGGAGGCATGTCAGTACCCCGGGAAACGGAGAGAAAGCCGTAGGAGAGGAACAACCTAACAGCAGGACCGACCTGACAGAGTCTGAAGACATGGAGAACTTTATGCTGCCTGCAACATCATCAAGTATGCCCGGTCTGGTGGTGGGTCAGTAATGGTTTATGGTGATGTTTCTTTTGAAAGTCCCTCAGCTCTCCCTGTGCTAGCCAGAGGCACCTTGACTGCTGTTAAGTACCTCGGGGAGATCTCAGACCCATTGTGAGACCATAGGTTGGTGCATGACAATGCCAGTCCTCGTGGCTGTTTCTGCATGATGATAAGGTTAATGCTATGGACTGACCTGAGCATTCCCCAGACCTGATTCCAATTGAGCAAATCTGGGACATCGTGTTATGTTCCATATGTCCATGCCATGTTGCATCAAAGACTGTCCAGGAGATAACTGAAGCTTTAATCCAGGCCTGGGAGAGGATCCCTCAGGAGACATTTTGCCGTCTCATCAGGAGCATGCCCAGGCGGTGTCGGAGATCATACAAAGCACAAGGAGGCCACACACTACTGAGCCTCATTTTGACATTTCCTGAGGAATTTCTACTGAATTTGGATCAGCCTGCATTCTGAGTTTCAGAATCAGATTTATTTGCCAAGTATGCAAAAAAAAAACAAAAACATTTTTTTAAACCACACAAGGAATTTACTTCCCAGTTACAATCCGTCCAGAGGAACATAAACAAAAATGCAATAACCAACATGGGGGAGACGGAACGAGAAGCTTGGTGGGTTCCACTCGGTTTTTAGTAGGATTCCCAAACCAGATCCCTAAGAGATAAGAATGTAATTTTACATTGATCATTTTCGCTGTGTGATTAATAAAGATATTCAACTAGAACATATCCTTAACTGATATCTAGGATGTATGATTTTTGTGCTCCCTTTATTTTTGAGAAGTGTACATTACCACTATATTGTTCTGTTTCCCCTAAAAGCGTTCAACACCATGTTGATAAATTTAGCTAAGCTTTTTTAAAAATGTATTTATTTTTCTTCCAATCATAGTCTAGTTTCAGGACACTACGGTTAAATGCTGGATGCTGGGGACACTGCACGATATTTCAGGTCATTTTTATCTGTCCTGACCCCGAGATCCCTGATATGCGCCTGCGCTGACGCAGGAACAAATCAAAATAAGGCATACATGTACATGTAACAAATCTCGGACCACAACAGACGACAAGCAACACTGCTCGATCCAATCAGAGTCCTACACCGCAATACAGCACGTGAAGGAGGTGTGTTAGCTTTCAGAATGGGGCGTCACGACTTCAACACGTGGCCAATGATTGGCGGGTTTATCACAATTCAACCAATCGGTGTGGACAAAGGTATTCAGATGAACAGCCTCCATTGTGGCTCCTCGCAGGAGCTATTTTGGCCGGTAACGTGAACCAAAATGGCTGATCCCTGACTTCAGGTTCGTCTGACGTCAGACCATTATAATGATTGACAGATCCAATGCTCAATAGAAGTATATTGTTACTCTTGCCAATAACCAACCACATCTACGCGAATCTATTCGATGGAATACAACAATTGACTCTCATCCAAATCCTGTATACACAAAAGCCACTGTAAAACAGTATTCAGAAGGTAGATAGGGTTGCGGTGTCCGATATTAGTGGCAAATTTAGCATAGCGTGCTGTGCGTGATCACTGAAGTGACGAACTAGCACAACAACTAGCTATCAACATATCTAGTGATAAGGTTGGATGACATCGGCGAGCGAACTTTGAGAAAGACCTGGTTCGTTTTTGTTCCCTGCAAACGCACTCAACGAGGCCAATATTTTGTTGTTTTGGACCAGGGACAGAGTGGCTCAAAGAGTGGAACTCGTGATTAACTTTCATCGCTCATTTCGACAATATTTGTCTGACTGACTCAATCCTTGCCCGATCTCGGTTTCCTGACAGAACATTGTTTGACTTGTTTTTCAGCGCCAGCCGAAACTTGAATCTGTCTGTGACTTGGTTTACATGTTGTTAACAATTGTCTTGAATGAGAGTCATTAAGCATCCATTGCTGTTGAAAGTGTTAGCCAGAGCGGCTAAAAGCTAGTCTCTACCTGAACCACATCAGCTGACATTTTCGGAACAGCATCAGGGGAGATAGCAACTGCCTTGCTTTGTCTTGTAGCACATTTAAAGTTTTCTCAAACCCGTAGATACTTCGTCGGAGAGAAAAACACTTGCCTTAAAATAACCGCTGGCAGAGCAGTTTGAGAAAGCTGGTGTGTGGACGAAGAGCAGGTTGTGTACAGCCACGGATCACCCATCGGATTGTTTTAATATCAGTGATTATTATTATTATTGAACATGACGGCTATCGGAATGGTGCAAATGCTGATCGAAGCAGCCGAGTATCTTGATCGCAGGGAACGAGGTAAAGTATAATTTTATTCTTGTTTGTTATGGATTTTATGCTTTGGGAATATCCAGCGACACCCCTCCCCCTTTATGTGGCTTGTTTGTGCTTCTATTATGTTGAAACAGCGACGTGTTTTGACATAAAGCGCTCGTGCATTTAATCGCTTTGTGTATTTTGCAAATAATTGCAGTATGTATCGCGCACCCTCAAAATGTTCTTATCAATTTCATGCATGTTTATACGATTACTGTAAACTGAAGGCAAATGGGAAAAGTCCCTATTGGATTGCATTCTACGCATGTATTACTATTATTTCTTTATTGAAAAATTCAATGCGATGTGACCAAAGACTTTTTTTTTTATTATAGCCCCTCCTTTCCTGCTGTTGTGGTTTGCTAGTGGGGTTTATTCCAGTTCAAGATGACATCATTGTCCAGGCTGAGGGGAGAAAATACAGTGTAACGAAGATGGGGCTTGTAATGTTTAATTGTGTTTTACCTAAGTTTCAAATACGTCAAATGAATGCTAAAAGGATAACAAAGAAACTGTGCTCTTCCTATTTCTTCATTTGGCTATTCAACACCGTTTGACCCAATGGCTGCATTGTTTATGTGCTTGCAGAAGCTGAGCATGGCTATGCTTCCATGCCACCCTTCATCAGCAGTCGAGAGAGGGAAAGTTTGAAAAGGAAAAGCAAAAGCAAGAAAAACCTAAGTAGCAGGTAAAAACGAATCACCTCAGATTTTTTTTAACTCTGCAACAAGCATCCCATCATAACCTCCCCCTGTACAGTGCATCTCACTCCCCAGTATTTTTCAGTTACCACTTGTGATGTCATAGTGGCCATATTTTGACAGCTCTCTGTAAATTTACAACAATTACATTCGAACAGAAGCATCTTGGTTGTTGTAGTAGTTAGGATGACAGCCTCGAACAGGGTCGGGCAACATAACTGATGGGGGGGGCAAATTTTCATCAGGTCTATAAGGAGGGGGGCATATAGGACAACGTAGTTATGTATTACAAAATACATGCATGTTTTATAGCTAATGTTCATCTCACTTATGTATTTCATTCTTAATGCATGCATAAAATATTCAGCCTTCAACAGCAGAGGGGGTTTGGACAGTCAAAACATAACCACATACTGCATCATGCAAAGGGCTAGGGTGTATAAAAAATACCTTTCAAAGACAGCACAAAACTGTTGAAAAGCAAAAAAAAAAAAAAAAAATCATTAAGTACAAGGACTATGTTTGTCCTGCATGCAGGTGCAATGAAGTGATGTCTGTCATCGAGTGGTGAATGGCAATATTACAACTCAAAACAATACAGTTGACCCCTGCTATTCACGGCCAGCACTGCCTTTACCTACTCAGAAGCCCTGGTGTTAACCATCAAATATAAAACGCCTCCCCATGCCTAACCAAGATGCTCAACTCATTTTTCAATACTAACAAAAAGATCAGCACACATATTTATGCTTTTCATCAATTTTAACAAATGAAATCAAATCAAAAGGTTCACACACTATACTTTTAATAATTCAATATGCATTTTTTCAATCACTTCTATATATTTTAATGATATTGTAATGATGTATAAGTCAAGTCAAGTACAACTTTATTGTCAAATGTGCTACAGCACAGATGAAATATCCTACCTCTTAAACAGACAACAGACAACAAGAGGAGCCGCTGCGGGTGCCCACGCCGCCATCAAAAGAACAAAAGAATAAATGACACTTAACTAAATTAGGACACATAGTGCAGTCTTGCACCTACAATACTAGCTCAGATCAAAATAGTATTTAAAAAGTAATAAATGTACAAAAACAAGAGCGCTTCGGACATTGGCATCACGCATCCCTCCACCAAATGCAAAAAAGGCAATTTTGGCAGGCTTGAAAACTTGTCGCTGATTTGAGGAAATGCCACACTTTGACAACGTACACAGTTGTTTTTTGAACCAGGGTCCCAACACAAGGGGGCAAAAGAATGCGTGAGCATTCTAAAGGCTGCCAAAAGAAAAAAACAATTAAGCCGTAGC